TACATCCTATACAGTGACTGACTCTTGATAGGGTCAAATCCAGAAGTCCTCCCTGAACTTTACTTGCATGAGATAGTGCTGGTGTCATTACTTTGGCAAAATTCTTTCTGTTTTTTTTTGTGGTGTAGTATAAAAACAGGAAAATGGATCTCAGGGTTTGGCTACCAATATTTGCAGGGAGGGACAAAAGAATTGTTGCTACCTTCTGTATTTTCCATTCACTTTAGGATAAGAAAATACTTATAGGCTGATATCTGAGTATGGTACTAATCCTGGCTAAGTCCTGTGTTCAGGAAAACCCAATAATGCTTTATCTTATGTAGCTGTTTGCTAGTAATGTTGCCCTCCAAACATTTCCTGGTGTTGTCCAGCTGGTGCTGGTGGGAGCTAGAGACCATCGACCTAAGACCACATCCATACAGCTGGAATAGGGCCAGATCAAATTTGTAAAGCAAGGTAGGAGGCAGTGCCAAAGCTCAGCATGAAGGATCATTGAGTAGGTAAGTCATAAACTGTTGACTGGCCAGTTAGAGGCTTACATGCTGACTAGCATTCCTACAGTATACAAGAGTGTAAATAACAAGAGAGAAGTGCCTGGACACTCTAGGTTACCCTAGGCATTTGCCAAGGAGGCTAACTGAAGAGTAGTGTTTGTATTAGTGGGATGTCTTAAGCAGAGCGGTTTATGCCTGCAGGCAGCTGTAAATGTATATACATCTTCAGCATTCAGTGGGTTCAAATTTCAGTGGTTTTGTTTGAGGCTATTACTCAGACTTTAGGTTTCTATCTGACCTTCCTTGATATCCTGAGTGGATCGTGTGGGCCCAGCATCCTGGTTAGGACCCCCATCTTGTGAGGATAACTTGGAAGAACCTAAGAGAAACCTGATTGTTTGATAAAGGACTAGGAGAAACATGAGATTCGCATAGATAGTCACCAACCTTTGTTTTGCTCTAGATACCAAATATTGAAAAATCAATAGATTAAAAAGCTTCGCTCATTCAGGGAAGGATACAGAAAGGCTTCCAGACAAACCAATATAAACTAGTTTCCCTTGCCTATATTTGAAAATTTTAATGTGAAAAAAAGCTTGCTTTAGATTATCTAGTTCAGCTTGTGCAAGTGCAGAATATACAGGAAATAGCAGAGTGAAGTGAGTCCTATACCTGATCTTGTTCAAAAGGCAGAGAAAAGCAATCCAAAGGGACTGTGAAGAACAAATATCAAGAAATAGATGAAAAGTAGAGAAAAGAGGAGATAGGAAACCAGGCTGTTAAAAAAACCAGCCTGAACAATAACATGCAGGTGAAGGCACTTATCCTTGGACACCTATGTGGCAGGTGACTGTTGGAGAGAAGATAACACATTTCTGTGGTGAGCTCCGAGTTCCTTTGCCCTAATTCTCTGGGGTTACAAGAGGACAAAAACAGTAGGAGTAAGCACCATTAAAGAAAACAAAGGTATGTGTTAATATCAGATACCATTGAGCTCAGTCAGGTTAGATAAAGCAGGTGGCTGAGAGGAGTCGAGTAAGAATCCCTGAGAAGTCTGAAAAAATAATAAACATCACATCATTTAAACAGTTTGGCCCCTTCTGATCCTCTAGCCAATACACCAGTCTTCAATTAAAATGGAGGCAGTGGAAATTCCTTCCCTTTACCATGAGCTGCATGGTGACACTTCCAGGAATGAGATAAACCTGCCAGATTCTTCCAGATCCCTGTTTCCTAACTGAAACTAAATAACGTGGAGAATAAGTGACAGCCAGAGATACTCGCAGCCAAGAGGAGAACTGCTATGAAATGGCACTAGTAGGGTACTGTAAACAGGAGCCTGGCCTGCAAGCATTAGTGAAATGTTTAGTAACAATACTTAACTCTGTTATGTCTGGGTATCTCTTTCTCTTTTAACTAAAATGTTACAAATTTTACCATATAAATGAATCACTATATTTGTTTCTACTGGGTAAACTATATACATCATTGTAAGAAAAGAACAATAATTAAATTAAGGGAGGAGAGAAAAGGACAAACAAAATATTAGTAAATAAAATAGAAGACATATGTTCAATAATACTTTTCAGGCAATAATTTTGCTTGTTACATTTACTATAAGGAGGAAAAAAACTTCCACTCAAAATAAACATTGGAAACACAGCTGCCCAAACATTAGTCGCCTGCCATTTCCAGAACACTTGAAGGCCATTATCACGGGTTAGGAGGGTATCTTTGCTCTCTGAAGAAATGGCCATCGATACTGCTCAAGGCGGCTGTTGATTTTGCCACTGCAGAGGAGCCCTCAGTTTTCAGGGGGCTGTCAACGCAACCAGTGTTTTAAAATGTGTCTTGAGCACTTGAGCCTGCGCTCTGTTTTCACATCATCTCACGCAATGGAGAAAGGCTGATACACGTTATTGAGAGCCAGAAAGGGACCTGGCTACCAGCGCTCCATTAGAGTGTCCGCTCGGGTCCCACTCAGGAAACATGCTTCGTGTTCCTCGAGTCTCAGAGAAACCTCTACAGTTCATCCTTGCTAAAGTGGAAAGATAATATACTCGGCTCTCTTAGAAGCAGACAGTTCACCCAGCAGTGTTTCCCATTCTTCTTCAAAACAGAGAGCATACTTGCAGGTTTTTTCCCCTATATGTACGTGTTTTAAAGTTTATAAGCAAAGGTTTTTAAACATTGTCATTTTCTTACCCTCCAGAAAAGGCACAGTAACAAACCATCTCACACTGATGCCATTAACCGTAGAGCCAGACAAACTGTCTGCGCCTTTTTTCTTTTTGCCACGTGAATAAATTATTTCCAAAAGAAGTGATTGATTAATTGATCAGAGCTATAGATAGTTAATTTACTGTTTGATGGAAAACCGATCCAATGAGCTTTCTGGGGCTCATCAGATGAATTCTTTCCCAGTAGTTTCTTCTGTTATATGACCAGCTCTACTTAATACATAGGTACTAAAATACAAAGAAGTGCAAATATGACCATAAAGCAACTACAGACCACAGCTATCTAGCAGGTCCGCTATGAACAAGGGGCTCGTGAGTTACTGCAGCTGAGTTCCTTAATACATCGAATCTGAAGTCAAGGAGAACGAGAAGTGCAGTTCCCAAGAGCCCATACTTCAGATGCTTTAGCATTCACAGTTAACATGGTACAGGGTTTGGAGATTTGTTTCCCCATTTGATAATACCTGAGGCTTGTTTGTGTTTACTTCAATGTAACCAACTGTAACTGATCATCCAGAAATGTTTTCTTCACTGCTGCTAGGGTATTTAGGCTGTCTTTGCCAAGGTAATATAATTGGTTTGCAAGTGTTGGATTATTTTTTTTTTCCCCTTCAGTTTGCAATTATGAAGAAAAATTCTTTTTCTCTGAAGAAGTCAAACCAGTGTCAAGTCTAAGAAGAAAAGGAAAGGGTTGTGCAGACTTTGGAGGAAACTGCACAGAGTCATTTACAGATCTGGGTTTCTAACTTAGGAGGTTATAGCCTTGACTGTCAATGAACATCTTTCTCATCCTTGCTTTTTCTACTTGCAATCTAGATAGTTTTTCCCTTCCTAGATTTCTAAAGTCAACTCTGATTGTTACATAGCACATTAAATGACAAGGATTATTTGCTTATTTTTGAAGTTGTTGTGAGTATGCATGGGGTATGCATGGGGTATGCATACCTGCAGACCAACAGTCGCTTCCACACACAGCTTTTGGGCAGGGGGCAACAAACTTTGAATTTCTCAAATGTGAGAATTTGTGATCCATTCAGTCTTGTATGATTAGGCTGCACAAAAAGCTTTGAATTACCATGGAGCCATGAAGGGTTTAGATGCAGAGGGCATTGCATATCATACCAATATTTACCTTGGCAAGACAGTCAGAGACAAATATGTGTCACATATGCTTACAGTTTAGCATGGGCTAGTATTCCCAGGATCAGACTGTTGGGCACCTGCCACAGAATCCAAAGGAAATGCCTTTTTTTTTTTTTCTTTCTTTTTAGTAAATAGCCTGTGTGCAGAAAGGAAACATAAAAATGCTGCAGCGCTGCTGGTGCCTCAAGGGTATGTGTGCATTTATGTGTAAATCTCATGTTGTTAATGAGTATTTTATGCACACTCACACAAACGTGCATGTGTGCTGGGAAATTCTGTCTGTCTAAGCTTAAGAAGGTTCTTAAGGCAGTGATTTTGCCTTGCAATCATTATAGATGCATCTCCATCAAGGTTCCTTATTGCATGTATGCTGAATAAATTGCGGTTTGAACAAGGAGAAAATACAGGGAAACAGATTTAACCACATTGTATGCCCTGATGGCCCATCCTGCCTCTTGATACATGAGCGCTGCTGCTTTGTCTGTGCTATATCATTTTTAGGAGTGTATCCTATAGGCAGTGGAAATTATTAAATCACAAATTGAAATAAAAACATTTTGGATTTCAGAATATTTCAGAAATATTTACAGAAGGTGAGATCCCAAGTTAAGAATGATGTTTCAATTTTGGATTTTCTCCAAAACCAAAACATTAGTGTGTATAGCTGTTGTTTTCAACTGATCCCTTACAGCATCATACTAAACAATCCCTGCAGGATGTGTGCAGGACCAGTAGAATGAATCTTGTTTTCACAACTAGCTTGACGTGACTCTTGTGGAGTAAAATGTGAATGAAGGAACTTGTAAATCTGCAAATGCCAATGAACAGTCCCAGCTAGGGGAGGAAGGAGTGGAAGCAGTTCTGGGTTACAGCTCCTACTTACAATTCTGATAGACAGAATTTTAATTTACTGCATATGTTGCAATAGGCCTTTAAAGATAGCAAAGAAGATGCTCTTAAAATGTTTCCACTCACATCGGAGATGTGCCAGAAGAAACATATGAACCATTGTCCTGTCAGATTTCCCTTCCATTTTTAACCAGCCTCTTTACGCAGGCATGGAGGCATGTAAGAATCTAGCATGGTGGAGAGGTGCAAGATGCTCTGTGTCAGGTTAGGCTGATTACACTGGAGGGGCCGAGTAGTGAATGACGGAGTTGTAATCTGGAGGTGGGCTGTGGCATTCCAGGTTTGGATCCATAGGGAGGAGAACAGAGTCTTCCAGTGTGAAGTCCATGGTGTCCTCTTCTACCTGTACTGCTGGCTGGTACTTGACAGCCTCATGATCAGATAGTATGGATTCTTTGCTCTTGGTAACAGCTCTCCGCCTGTTGAGAACAAACAGTATAATATATTGACCCTGTCTCCATAAGCTTTTGTCTCTACATGTAATTAATGGCCAAAATTATTAAAAAAAATATATAAAGCATTTCAATTTACCTTTGCAGCATCCTGTAAGACAGTGACATTTTACAGATTGGGTAAGAAAACTGAATTAGGTATTTCAAATAACTCAGTGTTTTAAAAGTACATTTAGGAGTAAATCCAGGAGTCCTGCTACCATGTCTTTTTAGCTTACCACATTTCAGTGCACTATGTATATATTAGTTATAAATGCACCTGTCCTATACATACAATAATATTCTCTCTCATTGTTCTGACACAGGTCAGTAAAAATTTGACTCTTATGAAAGCAGAACTGAAAGCTATGACTTTTCTTTAAGGATAATAAAGGATGAAATAATGAATAATCTATGACAGACTCTAATCTAAAATGATACTGAAAGCAAGAGTGTGTGTTGAACACACTCTTGTAGTGTAGAGCAAAATCTCTCTTATATTCTGTAGCCCTTTAAAATTACTAGCAGTATGCTAGTGAAGGGCAGCACTTTTCAACATTACAGCTGCTGGCCTGTAACTGAGGCTATTAAAGCGAGCCAGCTTTCATTTTCTGCTGTCTTCTCTTATTATAGGTGATGAAGGCAGTGGGAGAGAAGCAACTTACATCACATGGAGCAACCTCAATGTTAAAAGTAGAAGAACCCTGCAGAGGATTTGTATCACAAGGTGACCTTGAGGAACAGCAAGTGTTGTGGAGAGAAAAAAGGTACTTTCTGTCATAGGCTGCCTTAAAAATAATGTTTTGTTAAGCCTTAAGTTTTTCCATCTGAGGAATTCATTGGAAGAGGTCTGGAAAATTTAGGGTTGGTTCTCAAAAGGATCCCAATTTGAGAATGGCTTTTGAACTTCTCCACTTTGCTTAGGGACCCTTTAACATGCATCTCTTTGGGATAAGCCTCACTCGCAGACTGATTATGGTATTGCTCATGTCTCATTTCAGAATGACTTATGAATGTGCCTGGGAGAATGTAAAATCAGGCAGTACTAGCACTTTGTGTGTATATTTCATACGTGTTTAAAGGAGCATAAAGCTACATTCTAATGACCCTAAACCAAACCTGAATAATCAACAGTTCATCAAATAATTGCATAATTCATTACACTTATTTTATTTGTACTGCTGCAGTGCTTACAGTTCCCAGCAGTTGATCATGGATTCAGAGTGGTGCTTTAGAAAGAAAGCAAAGCCAGTTCCTGCTCCGGGAAATAAAACAAGAGCTAAGAGACAGATACAGTCATTGGAGGAAGGGGAACAAAAATAATCAATAGGAAAAGTAGCAGATCCAAGACACCAGTTGTGTACACTGTCAAGTTTTTGTGATGGTACAGCAGAGAAAACCACTGCAGGCTTAAGAGCAGGTTGATGCTTGGCATGACAGAATTGTAATATACAGTAGGCCCAGATCCCTTCAGCTGTGAAAGGGTAAATATGTCCTGCTAGGTTATGCTACTATGACTTTAGAAGTTATCTTGCCTCTTAATCTGGAACCTGTCAAAAGCTTCAGTTTTCCCACAAGCTGTAGATATTCTCAGTCTGGCTGACAGAACTAGTGTCAATAGCATCAATTAAAATTTTTGTGAATTCCGCAAAGGTCATGAGTGTGCAGTGCATTGGCTAGAGTAGAACACTGGTTTATGATCTGTGCACAACCACACTGAACAGCCTGTAGGGTCCATCTGTAAATTATCTATCCCTGTAGTTCTCTTCTTGGGGGAGTGTGTGGAGTAGGTGATACTCTGTATATCATAGTCTGCAAAGCCAGTCTCTAAGCCAGGAGCTGAGATATTCAGCCAAATTCAGACAGAACAAACAGCTGCAACTCTAATCAGCTGCAGTGGGAGACTGGCTGCTTCATAGTTGCCTGATTTTAGTGTGCTGTGGTGGCTTTCTACAGCATGTTTGCATCTCCAGCTTTGTCTCTAGGAAGTGAACGCAGCACCCCTGAGTTGTGAGAGCCAGCCCACCATGTCTTGCACATCTAGAATAAACTTGGGTTCTCTGACTTCTAAAATGCAGAGGTTATAGATTAAAGCTAATGTTACTGTGCTTTTACAACTGTGCAAGGCATTGAAACCAAACCTGTTGAGTGGCAAAGCAGAAATTCTAAAATAAATAGTAACCCTGAGAACTTCAACAAAAACGTAGCACATTCTGCTTTCACAGTCTAAGTTTCTCCTCTTTGTCCAGAGAAAAATGTGAGTGGAAACTTCTTCTGTATACTATACATTTGGCAGCTGTTCCTTCCTGTACACATACACTTTCTCTGTAGATAAATTCTTCCCTGGCATGAGCAATGGAACCACAACTTTGCTTCACTGTTTATTTATGTATTTTTCTTTTTGTTGCTCAGTTCTATTGACTCGTGTCAGACAATTCCATGGATGCTCTGGCTTCTAATTTGCCAGGTATTAAAGTTGTCAGTGGAGACGGAGAGAAGCTTGAAAGTATCTGTTTAACTTGGCCCCCAGCCTGCATATCTCAGAGCGCTGAAGAAAAAGAAATGTTATTAGGGTTTAGTTTGGCCACACAATGGGAAATTTTCAGACCCATGTAGACTTGCAGCAAGTGTTCTTCTTAGGTTTCTGCCCCTGTAGGTCAGGAGCCTGGATATCTGGGAATGACTCTGCCTATCACTGAAATCATGCTGGTGTTTGAAGAAGGACTCTTAAATGCTGACATCTAATATTTGCTCCAAAGACAAAAAGCTGATGAGTTAGGTCAGAAGCAAGTTTTGTCATTAGCTGTCTTATGGCAGACCAAAATGCAATTAACTTTCAAAACTATTCCTTTCATCTAAATGCATTTCCTAAATTAAAGCTATCCAAGGGTCTTTGCATTTTTCCCTTTAATACTCTATATTACTAACATTGCAATCTATTCTGTTCATCCTCAGCAACAGAGAAATGTGCATATGCTTGGACTGTATATTGGAAGAGGAGATTGCAGCATCCCTTTTCTGTCTGTCCTTGAAATCTCATTTGCTACATAGAAACTGCCACACTGAATCAGACATCAGTCTTGCTTCTGGCAGTGGTCAGTACTTGATGCTTTAGAGGAAAGCAAAAACCCCTTTATGCTCTGAGCCAATTGTACTACCTTGTATAAGATAGAAAAATTCTCCCTGAGTCCCACCAATAAACATTTTCTGACTGAAGGCATTAGATTTGATTAATCACACAATTATGCAGCTGCAGAAGTTAATAATGGTTATGTAATTAAATAATTTCATTAAAAGCTAGCCATTACTTGGTTCACTGCTTCTCCTGGGTTGGCATTACACTGCCCAAAAGGTATTTCCTTACTGATTTTTGCCTCTGCCTGACTTCTGAGTGCCACAGCTGCAGGAGGCGATAAAAGAGATGTTCAGTTTTAATAAAACTGCTCATAACTGTGAATGTCTCAGCTCAGTCCCACTTGACTGTTGGTATTCTCACCACGGCACAATACTGAAGATTAGGCGTGTGAATACCATGACATTCAACTGAAACATATTTGCTCACTGACCAAGCTGATCACAATTTACACAATGACCAACCTGAAAACTCGTTTGTCCTTGCAAGAATGTGTACCGTTTGGGGCAGGATGAGGGGAAAGATGAGAATCTGAACACTGCCATATCCTGACCTCAAACAGGTTTTGTAATGTAAAGGACTCTCTTTCATAATGTGCACGTTTCTGTGGAGTGCTGGTTGGGGAAACATGTTTCGCAGAATGTGGTAAGCTGGCTTCAGCCTTGTTTCATAGGCTGAGACTAGAGTTAGCCAAGGTACAGCACTGGACTCCGCTCTTTCAGAGAGATACCTACAAGCTAAGGAGGTTTATGGGGGAAGTACAAAAGTGGTGAAAGCACTGAAGGAACTGATACTAGAAGATTAGAAGAATGCTAATCAGTAGCAGCAAATCAACCAAGAGTGACATTCATAATTACCAGCAAATCCTGCTACGCTTCAGGCTGTATTTCTGTAGTGTCCCTGAGCCTGGTGCCAGTGTCAAGTCTGTTAGCTGTAAAACCAAATGAGGTGGAGGAACCTACTGGTGTGGACCCAGTGTTGATAACTGAAAGCCTACCTGGTCTGTAAATAGGACTGCATCAAGCAGCCTGATTATCACAGAGCTTGGGCTCTATGCTATTGCATGCACATGCAGTGTGTGCGGGGCCACAATGTAGTTAGTAGGTCTCATGACCCAGACAAAAGCTTGGACAAGTGGATTTTAGTGCGGTACTGTGGGTAATGAGAACTGTTAACAGTTCCCATTTTTACTGCGCTATGCCAGATTTCCTGGCACAGATGAAGCTGAAAAGTCTAGGAATTAAACTAGATGAAGGAGAAGTTAGCCTGAATATTAAGTAATCTTTCACAATCTTTTTTAAGTTTTCTGGAGAGGTGTCAAAGTTGTTTAGAAGATACCACAGAGGATAATCCTGTAATAGCTAGAAGGCCTAAATGACCTAGTGAGACTTTTTCATCCTACCATATGAATCAGAGATTTTGGTTAGAGGTAGAAAAATACTGAAATCATCAAAGAGCTTGGCAATCGTTACTGGAGCTGTTTATTCTATGTGAGAGGGAGCCACTTTCTATTAGCCTGAATCTCAGGGTCAATGACCTAAAGAGGAGCATGGAGAAAGAGAGATGACTGTAAGAAAATCACCCTATCCAGTGAGGGACTACAGTACCAAGTGTAGCACTTATCTCCAGGCTGTGGAGCAGCTCTTATTGCTTTGCAATAAGACGCCCAAGTATCTTGCCTTTGATAGGAAAAACTAATAGCCTATTTTGTCCATGTAGAAATCCTGGCCTTGTTCAGAAGCTGTGTTTAGCGGAAGATGAGAAATTGGACTGAGCATTGCCAAGTAGAGCAGTTTGTCTCATGACCACTTCTCATAATAACATGTTGGAGCTTCAGGGCTTTTTAATAGCTTTCATAGGTGTTTAATGAGGCACAGAGTAAGAGTGATTAATTGCAGAAAAAAATTTAAAAAATTAAAGAAATAAAAAGGTTATTTTTTCTTCTGATGGCTATGACTGATTCACGGTTTGCTTTAATACATTTTAGACAGGGTGCTGTGCAGTAAGAATTTAATCCTGGGTTCCCCTCTGGCAGTATCAGTGCATCAGTAGTCTACTGGCACGGAGGACTCGAGGGGTTAGGATCAAGAATTCATTGTTTTGAAACACTTCTAAATACAAAGTACAGCTAACAAAGTTTTAACAGGCCAAAGCCACCCACTCATTAAGTATGCATCCCCTTGCGTGCGTGGCAAAGTTGGTCAGCTGTCCCTGACACTAGCTGCAGCACTGAAAGTGCAGCCAGATGAAAAGCACTGCAGTCAAAACCAAGCTGGGGACCACAGCCTTTCACAATTCTCCTTTTAGTCCTTGCTACTGTAAGCATGTAGTGCAATCCTAGAAAAAAGTGGCTTACATAATTCCCGAGTAGTTACTCATTCAAAGTTACTTGTATTTTGGAAAGCTCAAGTCACATCATAGTGCAAGGTGCTGCATGACACAACAGTAAGTACATTTTCTATCTCAGTGTGCTCATCGCAGAAGAAAAATCTTCTGAAACTAAGTTCTGCTATGGAGCAAACCTATTTCTGTGCCTCATTTTTTTGAGATGGTGCAAAAGGATTCTAGCCCAATCAGCTGGCTTGCGTTTTTATTGGGCACCTTGCATTTGGACATGAATGCCTGATGCTCCTGAGCAAAATCAGTTTGTTTCAATATTATTGACTTGCTTTAGGCCCAGTTTGGCTTTGGCAAAGGCAGAGCCCTCAGTGATGTGATCTGGATGCAGCATCCAGAGCCCAGGAGCATATCAGCTGAGCCTCAGTCAGCTGGTGTCATGGACCTTGGCCAAAACCAGATAAGTAATTTCAGAGCAATTCAGAGGATAATTGGGGTGGGGGGTGGGGGGTGGGGTGGGGATGGAGGGAGGACAACTGAGCAGATATCAAACCTATTGTAATTTTAAACAATAACTTGATTATAGAGTCTCTGGGAGGATTTTAAAGCAGTGCTTGGCAGTAGCCTGTTAATATTATGAGATGAAACCTGATACCAGAGTCATCCCATCATTAAATCCCCTCTATGTTGAATGTGCTTCCTCGAATGCTAACTCCAGTGTCATTATCCCGGTCAATCTTTCTCTTTCTCACTTCAGCTGCTGTTGTGACTTTATTCTTTAGCAGTATAAAATGCTTAGAGCTCAGAAATGGTTAGTCCAGTCTAACAGTGGTTCCATGCCCAGAGTATCAGATTAATCTTCAATAAACTCTTGACACTGACACTCCATGGTGTGTAGTGTTGCCAAATTTTAAACTTGACAGAGAAATGAATGCAAGATAAATAAACAGCAAGATTTTGGCAAAAATAATAAATGCAGCCACCCTGGTTTAGAAAACATGCTAAGCCTTTGAACAGTTTTCTTTTAGAAAAGAAAGACTGTTTGAAAAGGATCCAGGGTAAATGTTTTTGATAGAGAGAGATACACAATTAACAAGGGTGACTTTATCTTCCCTATTAAACCAGCACTCTCTTCTGACCTCTCCTAGACTATTCTATATGCTTTTGAGGCTTGTTTTTTCAAGTTAGCAGTGCAGGAGTGCCAAGGGGTGTCATGTCCTCAGATGAGAGGGCATCAGGATGCTCTGCAACTATGTTAAAAATGTTAGTTGTGCCAATGATAGTTTGCAAGATTTAAAAAAGAAAAAAAAAAAAAGCTGACAAAATAGCTTTCTCAGCTGGACCTCAAACACTCAATGAAGGATGTGGCCAAGAAAAAGCACATCTCTGTCCGTTCAATGGTAGCTAGGGTCCTGGTAAGGAGGAGACAACAAACACAGCTTGCTGCAGGGTTTGCCTTTATAGCAGATCTCTGTTAAGATGGTCTTTCATGGTCTGGCTGGCACAGAAGGTATCGGGCATCTTGTGATGAATGGAATCCCTATGGAAATGTTGACTGTAAAAGGGGAGAGCCCCAGATGGTGTGGGTCAGGCAGAGATTCACTGAAAGCAGCAGAGCCGTGTTACTTCATGTTCATTCCCGGTGGGCCTGATAGCAGTTCAGAAGGTTTTCCTGGAAATCTTGAAAGAACAGGCTGTTATGGAATTTTTGTGTTTCTGCATCTGTCTGGATGTTGATTTTTCTGATTTTCAGCAGAAAGCCTCCAATGGGGAGAGAGAGAACCTTCCTCTGCCAACTATTTATCCAAATGGGAGAAATGCAGTAGGGGAAACAGCAGTCAGAGGTGATAGAAATCTTTAGAAGGATAAATCCTATCAGGGAGGCTGTTTGTGTGTATGTGTTGGATTTGTGTCAACATGATATCATGCAGAAGAAGATGTAAATCAGCCCAGGTAAAGCATCATAGTAATGTAGTTCCTGACATTTGAGCTCCTTCTTTTAGAGCTGATGCCATTTGGTCTCCATAGCAATGCACTGTGCTGTGCAGAAATCCTCTCAGCATGTGCACAGGGTAAAAACATGGAACTGTGTGTACGTCTCTGCTAATCCCCCAACAGGTACAACACTGGGACAGTACTACAGGGGAAATACTGCTGAACAACATTACTCCTGAAGTGACACTCCTATCCAGCAGAATCTGTAGCATTTGAATGCTCCCTGTTAGTGCTCCAAGACTCTCTGGGCTTCCTTATGTAACTTTTTCCCTTTTCCTCTTTCTCCTTCTCTCCTGCCTTCAAACATCTAGGAATTTATGGTTTTAAGGCCTGAAAAGACAAGGCAAGCTCCTTCCATCTTGTTTTTCTCACTGTGTGAGGGAGTTAGCCCCTCTGTAATACTGTTAGATTCTGACTGTGCACTCTCATGTGAACTCTTCCATACTATGCAGAAATTGCACTAGTTTTTTCTCATGTATCATTTCTCTTTAATGTAGAAAAATGGTGACTTGATGTAGAACAAGCAATTGCTCTGGTGAGAAAGATCATTGAGTTTAATACAGAGGAAACTAATAGAAATCTCATCAATAGATTTTAGAGAAAACTAGGCAATTCAGTAAAAGTCTAATTAGCTTAATTAACTGAATAGGCACGGAATTCCTTGCTACAGAATTGATTCTTTTTTTAATATTTTGGATAGCTGTTCTTTGAAATTCTATAAGTTAATGTGTGAATCAGTAAAATGGGTTACTATTGTTATTATACTTTTCTAGGAAGGTGGGGAAGACCTATTTCACTACTCGGTCAACTCTCTGCCTGCACCTGATTGTTAAAGAAATATAGAGAACTGTGAGCTAACTGTTAGCTAAAAGCTAAATATCTGCTTTTATTCTTCTGTGATTGTCTATACTATGAATGGATAAACATATAGCAAACACTGTCACAGCCTCTATTTGTAAACCCAGTATGAACTATGTAATTCATAGGATCACGAAGGTGGTAGGATTAAGGGACTTCTCTGTAGGACTGTCTTCATAGCTGTGATAAAGCAAATGTAGAAATCATGGTTGTGGTAAATGCAGTGCTTATACTATTCTTCACTATACATGCCTTTTTAACTTTTCTCACATCCATCAATTGCAAAGGTGCCAGTCCTTCTGTACATCTAAAGTTAAAACATAGCTTTGTTAGATGCTGGTATAATGATAAATGTGCTTTTCTGGATTAATAAATCAAGTTGTTCTAACTTTGCTCCATCAGTAAAGGAGAACACTGGAGAGGCAGTCAAGAAACAGCTAAAGTAGATACATATATTCTTAGCTCTTTTGCTCCTATTATTTGCCATGTGCAGAATATTCTCTGCCCCAGGAGATCAGATCACAAATGGGAGATGCCAGCTTCACTCGAGAGCACTCTTTTATTTTGTTGAATGGGATTCAGAATCACAAGGCAACCTGGCATTTTGGAAGAAGAGTTAAACTGATTGACAAGACATTATGTGCTCAAAGCTGATGAAATAAGTTTTCATTTTTATCATGCGAATCAACATGTTTCATGTTAATTAACCTTCCTGTAAATTACATGCAACAGTGCAGCATTCCTTTCAGAGACTTGCAACTCTGTTTTATGTTCAACTTCTTTCTGGAAGCAAAGTTTACATTACCACTTTCTTGATACATAAACCATGGTCTTCCAGTTATAGGGTTGAAATCCAGAGTTGCTTGTCCTTCTAGCTTGTTTAGATAGTCTAAACAGTTTTCCTTTTGGAATCAGAAACAAAATTGCAAATTTCAGAAGTGTTTTTCTGAATGGGATGCTGTCTTAAAAAGAAATGACAAAAAGTACTCACGCTAGAGCCATAATCCCGTAAGGCCAAGAACGGATTTCCAGCCTCTTCGGGCTTTTTATCTCATCTGACGTCAACACCATCCCACTGTCTGACTCCTGAGCAGCAAAAAGAAGAGAACATCAGCAGAGTGCCAAATGATCATGACAGCATGGAGCACTTTTAAATTAGAAATGGCTTCCATGGGGAGAGTGTGGAGAAAAGTCAGACTAAATGGCTATTAAAGTCAGTAGAGAAGGAAAGCCAAGGAGCTACTTAGAATACCAAAGTCCAGCTATCTTATCTTGTGATGATACTGCTTTTAGGCAAGTTGATAGAATTTCACCTTATAAAACTGTCTCCAGCTACAGAGCAGACAATGCAAGGGCAGGAGAATGCAAATTCTCCTTCACTGTGGCCTGTAGAGTTTGGGGATCCCTGTCTATGCAGTTATCAGGGAGAGACTGCCAACAAGGTGGCCGTCTGTAGGTGTTATATTGTAGTGTTATATACTGATACTTGTGTACTGGAACTCATGTAGGAGCTACCAGCTATTCTATGGAATCACAATATCTCAACCAACAACCTGGAGGGCAAATGTTTGCGTCAAAACTCTCAATTGTGTGCTATGTAGTAAAGTGCTTAACACATAGATATGTCCAGTTGGTGTATGACATTAAGCCTATTCTTCAGAATATTCTCCTATCAGGGCCTATATTATCAGTTTTTATCCAACTGTTCCTGATAATGCTGCTATTTAGTCTAAGAACATTTGCCTTGTTTTTGTGATGGTAAAGTTTTGATCTGTATTTTGAAAGAGCACCCTTAAAATGAACATATCAAAAAATAATTTGACATTTTCAAGCTTGAAATTGATATTAAGCGTGACATATGGATACTGTCTAGGTAGGATAGCTGAGATATGAATAGACAGAAATTCATAAAAAATATATGCAATAATACTGGCTAGACTCCTCAGAGAAAAAGTACCCTAAATGCCTACTAGAAATACACTATTAGAAACATTGAAATTTTAAGGAAGTGGAAGTTCAGTATCATTTTGGCAAATCCAAGTGCTTTGCAAAGATATCTAGCCTAAAAGGCTCATTGTAGTTTGGTTATGGATTTTTTTGAGCTGTCCAACAAAACTGTCTTGATTAGTTTTAAAGTTGAGGTTCTGGTTCCACTGCACTTAAGGTTGAGTCACGAGGTTGCAATTAATATCAAGCTGTTATTGTGCTAAGTGCTACACAAGTTCACAGACATGCACAGTCCTTGTTTTAAGTAATTTAAAAAATATTAAATGTTCAGGGGGGTTTCTTTGCATTTGAAATATTTTGTGATGCTGGAAAGTTGCATGTCTGTCTGTCTGTCAAAGCCAAGAAAGCAAAAGACCTCAACATGGGAAGTGAAGCTTTAGTTAGCCTTATTTTACCAGTCAATCTGATTGAAAAAGAAAAAATAATCCCAGCAAACAATAAATAAAAAGCAAAAGCCTTTTTATAAATGCTTTGGTAATGTATCAGTTGTTAATAAGATCAGTCTAGAAACTGGTTTTCAAAGTATAAAGTAAAATCCTAAATTAATTAGGTCTGTCAAAACCTCAGTAGAACCCAGCTTTTCTCTCTAGTTTTTATCTTGACTATTTCCCTTCAAATACGTCGTCTAGAAACAATTTATCTGAGTGCTGCTTTGCATCTTCCTTACAGAAGAATTGTTAAAAGAATATCAACGGAGACTACAGGTAAGTAGCACAACTGCAGGAAGGTGTGGTAGAGCACTTTTAGAGTTAGTTCCTGGGCAACTATTTGAAATAATGATCTAATCAGTATTAATGTCTTGATATGTAAGATAATTTTAGTAACCTAAGTGCAGTTACATTGTCCAAAAGTAGATCACACCATAATTTTGCTTTAAAAGATCCTCATTGAAACATTACATTTATTTCTGATCTGTTAATGTATTATTACCCTTTTTTGGAAACTTTTCCTCTTCATGTAAGGACTTACTTTAAAATGTCATGAACAGGGAGCATTTAGGAAAGTAATGCTCATGCTGGCAGCAGTAATCTCCTACTGATAACAGATCTGTCTAGTAAATGTCTTTGTGTGATTCAGAGGGACAGATTTTTATCCTGCAAGAGGAAAGATGCAGGAGCCAGAGAAAATTCTAAGCTTTCTAATCCCTAAGATGCACTGATAAAGACACAGAAATTACATCTGGCAAAATATTAGGGAATAATGGGCATCAGATTGTGCTAAAAAGAGAACAGATGAGAAGTATGCTCTATTTGTCACGGACATGAAATATGTCCAGGACAGGTTGTAGCTAGAGACTTGACCCTTCCCAAGAGAGTTGGTCTGAGGAATGGCTGTCTGTCCAAGAGGGAGTCTTAGCTGGAGCTCGGGGGACAGTTCCCTGACTAGCAGAGTAGACAGACTGGCTTGTTTCTATAAAACTGTACACCTGTTTCTTTTCTTTTGCTGCTCCTAGCCATCTGATGCTTGCCCTCTTCCTCTGTTAGAAGGTTTCCTGAGGGCTTCATGCTTCCTCCCTAAACTTTGATCTGCTTCAAGCATGCATGCGTTACAAAGATCCCTCCTTAGCGGTACAGGATCTGGCATCGAGGCAAGTGGTGTGGAATGCATTTGGCACTGCAGCCAGTGAGTACCTGAACCATAGAGGAAATTCATGAGTTGTGGGTTTTTTTGGTTTGTTTGTGGTTTTTTTGCTGTGTGTTTTGGTTTGTTTTTGGTTTTTTTTTTAATAAGGAATAAAAAATAATAAAAAACCTCACAACCCTCCACCCTTGGAACCTGTAATTTCAGAGGAAGCCAACAAGCAGAACCATCATTCTGTAACAGAACAAGCTTTTGTTTTCCACTGGAGTGAAAATGAAACCTTTCAACACTCTTCCACCCTGCAGTGTCATTAAACTAGCAATAAATATGTTCACTTAGGGTGAGGAAAATCCAGGGTTAGAGCCCTTCGTGTGAATCAAGTAGAGCAGGAACTTGAATCTTGGTCTTGTCTATCCAGAACTGAACACCCTCACCACCACCAAGTTATTGGCTCTCTCAGCCAGCCAGAATGTGTTCTGGACACATTTCCTTCAAAAGGCTCCATTTCAATGAGCTGCCATTTTGTTATGGTGGAAAAAACATATTGAAATATGTAATATGAAACCCCTTAGCCTGATCAAAGCCAGGATAATCATGCATGAGCTTCTCTTTAAATTATTTGTTAAGCTAAATGCAGGTCTCTGTTGCCACATGGACCTATGTGTGAGATAGTAGGGCCAAATCTGCTTGATTTAAAGCTTTTTCTTACCAAACAGATTTCAAAAGCTCTAATAAGTGTTTCTGGTGCTGGTGACGAGTGATCTGTGAACCTGGTGGAGAAGGGTGCAATCACCTCACTTACCTCATGCATCACTTTCTCCTTTTCCACTGGCACCTCATCAAATGTCTTCACACTCAGTGGTCGCTTCTTGCTGTTGATACTGAAAGCAAGAAAGTTGAGGGGTCAGCATAAAACCCAAGCAGATGCTGCACCAGTTGGTAGCTCAATTAACATCCCTGACACAGCTCAATTTCCTAGACTGGTGTTCTTTTTTCATCTCTTGTAACTAATAAATGATGCCCTGACAAAGTTGTCTGTCCAACTCCCTTAAAACAGCCATATTGAGAGAGGACAACAAACAGTGACCAGCTATATCAAATCTTTCTTTCCCTCCTGCCCCCTGTATATATTTTCTTACCCAGTTTCCACTGCACTCCAGCGATTAACACAGTTGTTCAAGTTTTCTTCCACAGGGCAAGTTTTGGAGTTAGATTCTCCATCAGGACACAAGGTGATGTTCAGTGGAATATAGTCTTTACCATCCTATACAATTAATAACATAAAAGAACACAAAGTGGTAAAGTTCATTTTGTACTACATCTCAGATGTGAAAGGTTATTGTGTTCTACAGAGCTTTACACTGAGAAAGGACTAGATTTTATTTTAACTTTATGATGTTTCTTCAAAGTGATTATGATGTTCTTCACAACATGTGCAAGTTCAAATGTATAGCTTTATCCGACATTTACTGCGTAGGAGGCTTTGTATGAGGAAAATGGTACACTTTGGGAAACCTACGACGGAGAATGGCTGAAAATGGTCTCTGATGTTCCAGTGCTCATCTGCAGTTAGTGTGTTCTCTCTTCCAGGCATCTCAGCCTGAGCTATTGCTTCACTGGTCTTTATAGCAGTTACCAGACTTCTAAATGTCCCTCACATATGGCACAGCAATGTGATGTTTGTACTGAGGGTGTCAATATATGTGCATCCAGTTTAAAAGTAGCTGGCTTTGCTGACTTTCACAGCAGCATCTTTGATGAGTTTGCAGCAATTTCTTTGTGATCATTACTACATTCCAGATGTGTGGCTGTTCTGCCTCAGCGAAGGTGAACAGAAATTCACCGATCTGCACTTCAGAAAAGCAGTCCTCTATATTGTCATTGAGCTGGCCTCTTTGGGAATTCCAAGGGACCAGTTTTCTCAGGGACACCTAAATCCAAGTTTAAGCCATGTGTTTGGGAGAAGGGAGGGAGTGGCATGAAGTCACAAAACCCCTATGGCCAAGACAACTTTAACAGATTTTGGAATTGCTAAAAGAATATTGCCTATGTATAGACTTTTTGCTTATATTCATCTTAAGGACTTGTAGCTTAGGAAGACCTGGTCCTTAAAATGGTAGCCTTAAAGGATTTTATTTCTTGTCCTTACAAGAAATTGATGCTGCAAGTTTAATGGAATTCAGTACACATCTTAATAAACTCTGCATTGTCATTACACCCCTGCAGTAATCTTCAGAAATTAGTCTTCCTTTAAGTCTTAAAACTATTTGTCCAAATTTCCCTTTGCTTGATTTTTTTTTTTTTTTAATTTTGAGAAGCAGTTAAGTGCCCTATTCCCTTATCATGATTTTTATGTCTCCTTAATTTACTTTGGTTATAGGATAAAACTCACAAGCTCTTCATATTGCAAACTGGGTCCTCTTCAACTTAGCTTCACTAAATTTGATTGCAAACAGGAAGGAGCTGGAGGAGAATGTTTGGTTTCTTCTTAAATTAAATTGACAGTTACATAACTGGTCTGGTTGTTTTTACTGAAGAAGAAAACAACTGATTTAACTATTATGAAATTAATAATTATGTAATTGACTTTCTGAGCTTTAAACTGCATCATTTTAAAGCTCCTAAGAGCACTGATGAACATAAGCTCAGAAAATGAGAGAGAAAGTTCAGGCCAACTACTGGCAGTTTACTATGTTAGAATCTAATTAAAATTGTTTGTGAGATAAAGCACTATTGTTTCTCTACGGGGCAACTGAGCGTTTTTTTTAATTAATGTAAGTTTCTGCTTATTATGGCTGGATAAACATCTAGTTTTGAAATATAATCCCATTTGAATAGTTAACATTTTCTCTACTCATCCCAGCAGCCATTTTCCTTGTGACCTCTGTTATGAAGTCAGATCTAATATTACTGCTCAGCATAGTCTTTAGCTGTGCACATGCATACACATATCCATATACATCTATATGTACACCTTTGTTGAAGAAATGTTTGTATGGCTGTACCTGCTGTACATTGGCTTGAAGAAGATCTCCTAAGCGCTCCACAAGCTCAGTGAAAGTAGGCCTCTCTGTGGGTACTCCATGCCAACAATCCAGCATTGTCTGGTAGCTAGACGAAAAACACAGGTATTAAGAAAGAAAAAGGATAGGAGCTTTGCTTCCAAACTGTTTCTTTCTGCTGCTGCTTGTTTTGGTCATTGTTTGGATAGTTTTGGATTAAGACAGGTTCAAATCTCCATGTGCTGAAATTCTATTCTAGTTTCCATGTGGGATGGTTTTTCCTTCTATATTCCTGCCTCAACTGAGCCTGTAGGCTTTTTATTTTCACCCAACTTAAAATTTGACTGATAGGCCCCACTGAAAATAAGTCCCAGTTATGGATGCCTAGTTTCTGTCATGGAATTGGAAATCAAGGCAGACGCAGTAGTCTCCTGAACTGAGATTCATGACCTCCAACTGACATGGGGAGATCTGTTAATCTTCTTGTTGGCAAAGGTCAGGCTGACTTGGTCTGTCTTTAGCATTTGTCTGTGGTATCAGGACACCCGAGAGATGCACAACTACAGTGTTTACTGAAAACAAAATACATAGCTATCATCTGATGAGGTCTCCATACTCCTCCACACTTAAATACAATCTCTTTTGTAATACTGAAATAACATGTATCAGCTCTCAATATAAAACCAGGAGCTCTTACACTTCTGGAGTAGAGTACTCTGGAGATCTCATCCGCGTTCCTTCTTTGAGCCGTCGGCAAAAGTCCTCATCTATCTGCACTCCAGGGTATGGTGAGGCACCTGATGGGAGAAATAAGGAGGAGGCTCCAGAATGGCACAATGCCTATTTCCCAGTCTAGTGAATTAAACACATATCAGTGATTTCCGCTGCACATTCGAGATTACCTAGAGTCTGACAGTAAAAGAAGCTAGAGCAAAGAAGGGGTTGCAATCACTTACTACCTACATGTTTTGTTTGGAAACCTGTTAGAGACTCACTGTCTCTTTAGAGATTTCAACCATGCTGTCTCCTCTGCATTTGTGATACAGCTAGGACCACTCCAAGGTAAAATATGGCAGAAGAGAAATAAATTTTATTAGTTTGAGTCTTTAAATGACCTCTTGGTCAGTGGTAGAAAAGTTCCAGATCATTCAATTGATTACATATGGTTTGCCAATATCCTGCACTAAGTGACTACACGTGAAGTTAAGTAAGTCCAGCTCATCATTCATTGTCTTAGAATCTCTGGCCTTACTGGCCTCTGTGAGTAAGTGCAGAGAAAGCTGTAGGTATCTGGCTCCTGCAGAAGTCTGTGAGAACTTGCAGTTCAACCTCAGGTGTGGAATTGTAGTCCTCCTCTCCTGATTCACCAATTTAATATTGTATATATATTATGCAGTCTTACAGGTAACATTTCCTTGGAAAATGACCTTCCAAATTTTTAGCCTTGTTTTCTCTTCTGAGTGTGAGTTCAATGCTGCTTATTTTCAGGGCCATTCAACTGTTAGTGTGAAACCAGAGACGACAGTTCATGGCAACTGAATTGCTTTTAAGAGGTAGACTTCTGTAAAAGGACTGGTAGCGTTATATTAACTTGGACAAAAGTTGGCCTAGCAATCTTCAAAATGAAGGAGTGAGACTTATTTCACTTTCCTGTGTAATTGGTTATCTTCACAGGAATTACTAGTATAAATCTATGTATGCATTGAAGTGCTCTTCAACTAATGAGCGAATGGGGGCTTTTCAGAGGTCATGATCTTTGTTGATTGACACCTGCACTTTATGATGCACTGTAAATAAGGGGAACAAATATATAATTTGAGAAAGTGCTCTGGCATCTGAGTAATCCAGACCTCCTAGCTAAAATTCAAGAGATGTCTGCACTGAAGTTTGAAAGGTTACTGGACCTATTGTGGATAGACCTAAAAGATCTGTAAGCTTTCCTCCCTTCCTTCTCAGCAAAGGCTTCATGTGTAATGCAACCCTTGTCTTTCACATTTTGGCATCCTGGAGGCTGGCTGGTGAATTTGGAAAAAATTTAATCAAGTCTTAACATAGGGGATTGAATGGAATCTGGATCTGTATCCTGCCCTCGAAGAATCTGTATATGATTTACGGTCTATAACATTCCTGCCTATTTCCTGCATTTTTTTTTCCCCATTTGGAAACAGCATCATGTGCTGTGCACTTGGGGGCACAACAAGCACAGCAAAAATTTTTTGGATAAAAGCAGTGAAGAGGGTGCCAAAATGTGGCTGTTTCCAGAATTATTCTACTCTGTGAATCTGACTGCTCAATTTGCAAAACTATGCACTGGGGAGCAAAGATCCCAGCAACTTCCTAAGAGGGCATCTCAACACAACAGATAGGCTCTGATGACATTCAAAGCTCAGGGATGCTTAGCCACAGCACATCTGAATTTCCTTGATGTGCAAGTATCAGATCACAGTATTAAAGAGTGTTTCCTGGAGTTATGTAGATTGGAAATAGTCAGTAGCATCATTTCTGCTTTATATCTTGATTTTCCTTCCTAGTTTTGTCTTTGGCCTGTCATTATGGTCATAATAACCCGCTAATTAAATGTTCAGCTCACATGGCATCACCCGTTAGCCAAAGATCTCAAAACAGGCCTCTATCAACTCCAAGATCTCTCTGAATAAACTGATGGATAGAAACTATAGTGTTGCTTTCTCACAGTTACATTGTGACAGAAGGGTAAGGATAAGAACAGGCTCTGGGGGCACTGACTGTTGTCCAAGCTACTAAACTGCTGTCTGCGTACATCTCCTGAACTCTCACTGGCTTCTCTTTTCATCTGTGCAGGTTTATCTTTACAAACATTTACAAGGTACTGAGGCTTCATGAATACCTCTGCAACTTGTCCGGTTGATCCCGTATCTATTTAACAGTGGTGCAGCCTTTCCAGAGAAGTGAGCATAAGCCTCTAGTTAGCCCTAGATTGTCAATGTACTGGGGCAACACTGAAAACAACAACCCTCATTAGAGAATAGATGGGCTGCGTGGCCTTTTTCATTCATTTCCAACTGCATTATGCGATTGTTGTGCCATCATGGTCAACCGACTTCTGTTAGGAGGAGCTGAATGGAGTCATGCCATTGATGAATGGCTGTTCTACACTGACCATTCTGACATGCAAAAGAACCCCCTCAGTTTGCTGAGTATCACTGGCCAGATCTGGGTCACGAGCACAGCAGAGATTATTGGTAAGAATTAGTCTTGTATATACGTTGATTGGAACTGAGACCTTGAGGGCAACATGGTAGAACTGGGTGAGGAGGGATGGGAGAATTCCACTTGATCTCACAATCTCAGTTATCTTTCTTTGATTACATCATTGATCATATCAACTGCAATATGTTGGTGAGAGCAAGTACAAGGAAGGCAAAAAAGAATAATTCTTGATTGCAAGATCTTTTGGTAGTTTATATTTTGATGGGTGCTGGCCTCCTACCAGCTGGAGGCAGCTCAGATCATAAAAGCAAGGAACTCTCCCTTTTCTACCTCCAGTCACCATTGTACTTCTTCTGGACTAAGTCATAAGCCTGATAACTTGGATTTGGGGTGCTAAGACAGCTTGGGAGAAATGTAGGCTGAAACATGGTGTAAGGTCTATGCATGGCATTTTCCTTAGGGGAAATCTCTTCCAAAATGCTCAAAGATGTGGCATGCATTGGATATGGTAGCACTCTTTTGATCTTGATTTTATTTTAGTAGGATAATAAGATGCTGATGTTATACTACCAGGCACTGCTTGTTTACATAATTATCTTTGATTGCTTTTTGAACAGTGTACACTTAAAGTCCAGGAGACAGCAACATTCTGTAATGTGCCATGTAAGTGATTTCAAGATGTATTAAACATTGCTGGCATTGCCTGACATGAGGTGTGCTGACCCCATTTAAATAACGCAAAGCTCAATGCAAACTCAGCCCCAAATGAAAAGTAACCGTCTCTGAAGTCCTGATTTCCCTGCGTATCACCACAATGGATCTAGTCTGCCAGCCTTTCTGGAGGAAACCTATCGTGCTTCATTCAACTTCTGACCCTGAAAGGACCCGTGTCCAAACTAAACTGTGCATTTTACTAATCAGTACTTTTTCCTTTTTTTAGAGGGCGCTAAGTCTGTGGGACCCAGTAAAAAGCAGCAGTTGTAAATGGGAGCCAAAACGTACCCTGTAGCAACGACAAAAAACTTCCATCCCTTGACTCTCAATGATCTGTAAAACTTTTATATAAGCGAATTCAATCAGTGACACAAATCCTTAATTAAATATTTATCGTGTGAGCTGCAGATGTGAGTAGTGCCAAACCACAGACATGCCTGGATGATCTGTATAAAAAACCCTCTTAAAGAAAATGCCTGCTTTTGAATCTGTGCCATGGATTGAAGAAAGTAGTTTGTGATCTACGTCATAATGAGGGCAGAGGCTGCTCTACGCATGGCAGCCCTTGGAGTAATTTAGTAGATTCCTCTGAATTCAGAAGAGAATGGTCTATTGTTCCAAGTAAGCACCTTCGTTAAGAAAAGAGGCTATCTAAAATTAAAAGAAACCAGATAAATTATTTTTAAAAGTAGTTAAAAATAGAGATGAAATTCAGTGACTATTTTTTATTTTTTATTCATCTTTGGTATTAAAGGCCAAATGACCCAAAGTTCACATCTGTTAAACTCTGGCAGGACCTTTGGGAATGATATAAACAGTTTGCCTTCTGCAGTGGTCCTTGCCATTCATCAGTATTCAGCTCATTTGGTTCCCTGGAGGTGCCCAATGGAGAGACTGTCCCCTCTGAGCGTGTCTCTGCATGCTAATGCTAATACATCTTCTTGAATAATCTGTTAGAATTGGGGCATTGATGGTGCTTCCGGAGCTTTGTCTTTCTGTGGTGTTTCAAAACACATGCAACAGGTGATGCTGTTAGAGAGCCATGGAGGTGTTACTCCAAAATAACAAAACTCTAAATAAATAGGACTGAACTCTGGAGAAGGCAATAACTGCCACTTGTTTTAACCATTTGAGTGTGAACTTTCTGTTTTGCGTGCTGATGTGAACTAGAGAAAAGTCCAAATCAAAGACTTGGACTGAAATCAGGTTGTGATCTTTGCAGCCAGCCCTAAACAAACAGATTAGGATAGAAACAGCTCCAGACTTTGTAGTGAGATATGAACTTGGCATCTTCAGCCCGATCATTAATTTCAACTGATCCATGAACCAAAGATAGTAGGAGATTACAGAGTTTGCTTTAAAATTCAGCAGCTTAAGTTGATAATGCTTCTTGTTTTCTTTTGTCTGCAAATGCTGATTGAAAAGCCAGAGCTGACATTCCTAAATTCCCTCAGGAAAACAAAACTTGCCACTCTGCAGGGAGAATTTGAGAGCAGCAAAGCCCAACTATCTGTAAGACTGCTTGTCTAAATTTCAGGGCTTTATCTGCTGGACAGTAACCAGATCTCAGTGAGGCTGAGATTTCTAACAGCACTGTAAGATGAAATCTATAGTACGTAAAGAACACCATTACTATTCTTTCAAAAATGTTGTGGCTTGCAAATGATATGGCCAGAAGAGTAAGCATTCTACCTGTTTGCTGCCAAAATGACTTACACAGAGTCTAGTGCTGGTTCTCATATCAACCTGATGGCAGCTGCTGCCAATACATTTTTCTTACTTAGAAAATCTTACTTAGATTTTGTGGGGAAAATAATCAATCTGGGATAAAATATCATGGGGGCAAACTCCCTTGTGTTCCATGGGCTGCCACTAGCAATGTCAGACCACTATGTCAACAGCAGTGTAATCCTCTGCAACCTTTGAGCTATGTGGTTTCCTGAAGCAGACTGCTTAGAGGAAAATATAGTTTGTCAGAGAAACTTCTTTATTGCTCTCAAAGAAGTATTTCACTCCCGAGCAGCAGAGGCTTGCGTTCTCTCTGTGCTCTGTTGGTTTCAGTTATTACAAATGTTAGGTCAAGGGGTTTGGATTTTGTTTTGTTCCCCTCTTCCCAATATTCACTGTTTTCATGTACTTTGCCAGGTGGAGTTCTCATTGACTTCAGTCCAGTGACTTTATTTTACACCTGATCTGCACTGTGCACTTATACTAACTGAAATGGAAACATGGCACCATGTTATCACCTTTTGTTAAAAGCTTTTCTTAACAATACAGCCATAAATTAGGAGGGAAAAGGGGTTTAAACCATTCTTACCTAGAGAAAATATTTCCCATAGTAGCACTCCAAAAGACCATACATCACTCTGGGTTGTGTAAATTTTGTCGAAAATAGCTTCTGGAGCCATCCATTTGAGTGGAAGTCTTGCCTAAGAATGCAAAAGACACAACATGTTGCAAGAACTGTTGTTCCTAATGTGCCCAAACCCTAGGGGAATAAAAACTTGAGATTAGCATTTCAAGTTTCTTCCACTTACATCTCCTTTCCGTACATAGTCAGGGTCTTTATAAATGTCCCTGGCTAGTCCGAAGTCACAGATCTTAACTACGTTGTTCTCTGAAAGAAGGATGTTCCTTGCTGCCAAATCCCGATGAATGCACTGTGAAGGAATGAGGACAAGCACAATCAGAGGTTCTGCCTGGACAATGAGCCACTGCTACGAGTTGAAAGTGTGAGACCTTCTTTGGAAATGGAAGGATAAATGAAATTCTGTTGCGAGCAGGTTAGAGAAGGAAAATGTGTGTGGGAATCTGTCGCAAATGTATTGTCATATGCAAAAGAGAAAATATCTCAGGGAGCAAGCCAAGTATTACTGTTAGTTTTCTGATTTTTCTACATGAAATAACTTTCACAGGTAGGATGAGACAAAGGGAGTGCCATTTTCCAGTTAATTGTTCTGCAGGAAATTTGGGAGAGGTCAAAAAGCAGCTGCAGCTACATTTGCAAATGTAGTCATGATTTCTGTGTGTGCTACCCTGGTAGCTGTGTGGTAAGGGCAAGCTCTCAGTTTTGTGCATACTTTGGCATGCCTATTACATTCAATTTACTTGAAAAGCAGGTATTCCACAGGCTACAAACATACTTTTTTATATCCAAAAGAGGTGCTAACTTTGCTGATAGTCTCCAACATTGCTGACAAGCTAAATAAATAGCTGGATACTCCCTCTTCATTTTTCAGTAGTATTTTCATTGACCATACTAGAAGGATCTTTCCCTATGAGAAGCCTTTTCTGCATTTATTTATGAGACAGTTCCGTGAATTGTCTCGCAATCTGTATTCACTCCTTCTATCTAAACGCTCATGTTACAGATGCCAGTCCTTGTAGCCAAGAACATGATGGATATTCCTTCACAACTCCTTCAGTGCTACTTATTGCTTAACCACCAGAGCTAAAGTGGTCTCCAACACTTTAATATAAGAGCAAAAAGCAGATTACTCAGGCTTAAAAGTGTATTTGGATTTCTTCATATCAGATACTCATGATTCTGTGAAAGAAGTTCAGCCCTGACATTTTAATGAGCTCACTTTTCGGGACGCGAGAAACTCCATGCCTTTTGCCACTTGGAAGCTATAGCAAATCAGATCCTCCAAAGTCAGGGGACGCTTGTACAGATCCTCAGCATCTAGGAGAGATCACAGACATGGCAAAACACTAGAGCAACAGCTCCAAACTTGTCTGGCACTTATGCCACTTGCATGCTGATGACCCCATCCCTGCACCTGAGTATTGCTACATGAGTTCTCTACTAGGATTACAACTCTGGTTTAGGACCCGCTGACCTAGAGGCAGAAGATCAGATGATTAAAAAAATTCCATCCAACATTAATCATATCATTTAGCTATGGGGAAAACAACATTTGGGGATAAAATTGAGGGAGGCTATTTATAGCAAGCGAGTGATGAGACTGGGGACAGACTGGCCCCACAAATCTTCTGGTAAAATATTGCTATTACTCCTCTTACACAACAGGAGCAGCTTTTATATGCATACATTATTGTAAATCTCTTTTTGTGAGAAAGTTGGAGTGGGGCATAGGCAAGAGAAAAAATGTGCGATTTCAGGAACAAGTCAAGCTGTGTAAAGGCTTGTAAAGTGTGTGACTGTGTGTGGCACTAGCCAAGTTACAGAAATCTGTACAAGAAAAGATCTGGGATTAGGTAGGTTTCTTTTACCTTCTTCATCATCTTCTGAATCGCTGTAACTCTTATCTTCAATAAATCCTGAGCTGGCAGAGCTTCCTGTGCTGGCAACACTCTCAAGACGCCTCTTGATCAGTTCAGTCAAATCACTGTTGGACTCATCCAGACTTTTCTCTGCTTGGTCAGAGTTTTCCTGGGACTAGAAATGGTATAAAACTGATTTTTAGCTTTGGATGATGCAACACCTGGGGATTCAAAATATGTAACAGAATGGCATATGGAGAAAGTGTCCTCTGAAGATGATCTCAAAACATGTTTGAACATGATATTCCCTGAATAGCAGAACTAATGAAGCCTGGTTTCCTATTTATTAATACAGAACCTCCCATTTTATGCATAGCAGTATTCCACCATAAAAGTTAGTTGGAAGCTGGCTGGGTGAGACTGACAGGTGAGCAGAGAGATACTGTAATGTGCATGATGTGCACTGAAATGCATCTGTCTCACCCTGTCCTGGGGAGTGAGACATAACCAATCCCTGCAATTCATGAAAACAATGGTGAGAAAAGAAATTTTGAGTGACTGTACCAGGAAAATCTCTTTCTCTTACACAAAGTACCTTATGTACTTTTGTGCCTGTACACAGTAGCTATAATAATAATAATAGAATCATCCAGGAAAATAATCTTGGGGAGGCTCCAGTTTCTGGCAGGGCTTAGATCAGAGAGCCCTTCTGATGCTGTATTTTCACAATGAGGAGGTAGTCTCATACTCTCCCCATTGCTGATTTCTGGTCTCCTGATTTATGGTCTTCCTCCATATCCTAGCCCAATCTGTGCTAGCACAAATGTTTGTGTGGATGCTGACAACTGTTTGGAAACCAAAACCATTTGGTTAGTTTTAATGCAGACCATGTTCGTGATCCAGTTCGCTGCATACAGCACAGACTTTTAGGTTGGCACAGGGGAAGGGAAAACACGGAAGATGGGAATGAGCAGATGATGGAAGGGTGAGCAGCTTTCAGTAGCTGGGGGGAGGTGGGCCTTCAAACAAAAAGCCCCAAACTGGGCTTGTAGTTTTGGAGGCTTCACCTTCTCCTAGCTCAGTTAATACCAGTTTTTCACTACTACTTTGTTGCCTGCCATGTGGTGGGTATTATCTTGCAAGTAATTCCCTCTCTCTTTCAAATGCACTAGACAGCTTGGGTTTTTGCAACTAATTCTTTAGTAGGTGCTAGAAAAGAAGAGGATGGGAATGAGATCCTACAGGGAAAAAAGTTTCCTTTTCTTGCTCATACAAATGTGGTGAGAAAATAAAGTGCCTATATAAATACCAAACTCTCTCAGTGCCAATGTGGAAAAAAAATCCAGCTTGTGGTAAGTGGTTGTTAATTCTCTGCCTTGTGACTATGAGAAGCCAGTAATTTTTTTACCTTGTATGCAATGAAATCTCCTCGTTTTCCTCTTAGATAGTTGGACAGATTTCCATATTTGCAATATTCTACTATGACCATTAAAGGACCTGAAAAGACAGTGAAAGTCCAATGAGTTTTGAAGCACTGCAAAGCACTTAATACTAACTTATCCTCACAAATCCTCTTTAAAGTAAGTATGTTCTGTCATTCCTCTTACACAGATGAGGAAATTAGGAAACAGAGGAAACAGAGAAGTGACACTCCAGAAGCACACAATCAGTAGTGGATATGGAGAGAAGGGAATACAGTACGGATTCCTAGTTTTCTCCATTAGATGGTAACAGTTGGTATTTATTCCTTATTTATAAACAAAGGAAAATTCAGAATGATAAATAAGAATATACAATCCCATATGCTGTTAAGGTTGTTTTACTCTATACATAGATCCATAGCACGGGGAAGTCTTCTTTTTTCACTGCTGCCTTCACAATTGTTTGTTTTGGGTGGAGCTGGTGCCAGTGGAGGCAATAAAGGAATGCAGGATCATAGACAGATCTAAATCAAAAGTTGCAAAAATATTTAGTGTGAAGTTTCTGAAAGCCTGGGAAGTCCTATCAATTTTTTCCTTTCTTATTTCTGTGCAAACTACTGCAGAGTTCACTGTAATTGCTGCTTTTATACAATTATGCATATTTTTAAGATCTGCTTGAAAATGTGTCATGGTTTAACCCCAGCCAGCAACTAAGCACCACGCAGCTGCTCACTCACTCCCCCCCATCCAGTGGGATGGGGAAGAAAATCAGGAAAAGAAGTAAACCTCCTGGGGTGAGATAAGAATGGTTTAATAGAACAGAAAAGAAGAAACTAATAATGATAATGATAACACTAATAAAATGACAACAGTAGTAATAAAAGGATTGAAATGTACAAATGATGCGCAGGGCAATTGCTCACCACCTGCCGACCGACACCCAGCCAGTCCCCAAGCGGCAAATCCCTGCCCCCCACTTCCCAGTTCCTAAACTAGATGGGACGTCACATGGTATGGAATACCCCATTGGCCACTTTGGGTCAGGTGCCCTGGCTGGGCATGAGAAGCTGAAAAATCCTTGACTATAGTCTAAACACCACTGAGCAACAACTGAAAACATCAGTGTTATCAACATTCTTCACATACTGAACTCAAAACATAGCACTGTACCAGCTACTAGGAAGACAGTTAACTCTATCCCAGCTGAAACCAGGACAAAATGCTTTTATGTTTCAGTGTGAGCTATTAGGAAAGGGGAAAGCTACATTCTCTACCATTAGCATCATCACTGCATTTTGTAATCACCAAATGTAAGATAAGGTGAAGTTGTGGGACTAGAATGCATGTAAACATGTATTATTATCAGTCCTAAGCAACCAGACTTTCATGTCCAGAAACCTTTTTCTGTCTAGAAGGTCCATAGTTCAGACTCAGGAGTTTGCACTTCAAAGGAAAAGTGCTGAGAGCTGCATTTGGCCACTCAGGAAGGAGGGAGGGAGTACGGCTGTAAGGCAGCTGTCAACGGTTCTACTGCTGACCACACAACACTGCTCACTTGGGCTTAAAGGCAGCGGTGCTGGGATTTGGCAGTGCCTGAGAGATATCTGGGGGACATTGTTTTGAAGAACCTAAAGGTGAATGTCCCTCATGGATGCCCCGAGGAAATGCGGATTCCAGTACAGCTTTAAAGCTCCAGTTAGTGATTTATTCATATTTTTGAAATGCTTCCTAGACATGGCATCTCCATATTTTATTTCCTCATTGTAAAGCATATACTATGCATTAGTTCTAACTGCTTAACATCAGACACTCAGCCAAGGTGTTAAAATTCGTTATTTGTTATATTGCTAAAATAATATACGTGCATACTTAATATCAGTCTTTATCAGGAATACCATTATATGGTTACATAAAAACTAACAAGGAGGGAGAAAGCACTGTATTCTGCAATGGTATTTTAATAGTAACTCTTATCCCAGTGTCTGTTTTGAGAGCTCAAGGCTATTTTTCTTTAGTCTGCAGTTGCATTGCTCAAAGGTAAGCAAACCAGTGCCTGCCTAGAGGCTCCTCAGTGCCCTGCAAGGCCGTGCTGCACTGCTGTGCTCTGTCCACTGCTCCCCAGAGTAATCGGTGGTTTTCCTAGGCAGTTAGCACGGAGGAGTAAGGGTTACCTCTTCACCCAGGAAGGCAATCAGGATGGAGCAGCCTGGAGAATGGGAAACTGAGGGACTCTCAGGAGAAAAAGTTCCTCAGAGATTGGACGGTCACAGTATTTGATCCGTTACTGAGATGTGTCTTACTGTGCAGCTAGAACTCTGTGCCTGAATTAGTGCTTTGGTTAAAAACTATTGACCTCTTAGTAATGCTGCCATGTTTTAGGCACCTGTTTGTACTAAGCTACCTCATTGACTTGATAGGAGAGGAGAATCACCAGCATTCATAATGTTACTTCCCCTCTACTCATAGTCCCAAGCAAAGGCTACTTGCTTATGCATCTGAATCTTAAAACCCTCCAGCTAAAGCTGGCCATCCTCCCATACAAGCTTTTGGGGTCTGCAGTGCTACAACAATTCCTGCAAGTTCCCCATTGATGGCTCCCAGATTACAGCAGTATCTGTGGTTGCTGGTTGCTGACTGCTTCTTGAGAAACTGGGAGTATCTTGCTGGAGGGAAGATTTCTTTCCTGGCATCTTACCAAATCTACCTCACTGAAGTTTTCTTTTCCCCCCTGTGACTGGACAACTACATGTTCTTTGGAAAAATGATAGCTTTGGAGTCTCAGATGACAACAGATGTGTGCACCATCTCTCTTACTCTTTCCCCTTCATTTATTTTACTCTGTTTTTTTTTTGCCCTCGGTTCTCCTAAATCTGTTCTTTGGGAATTGTTTTGAAGGTTCATTGTAAGCAGTAAAGAGGCATCTCCGAGAGTTGTTATCCTGAAGTTAAAGCACAGTAGAGTAAGAGGCAAGGGTGCTTTGTATGGCAGTATGGGATGGGAAGGGATGTTTTAGTGACAAAGGTCTAAGATTTATGGAGTCCTTTGTTTAAGTCTGCACTTTGCAGCAGATCCTTTGAATGATGTACAGCCAGTTGTGTCAGCTCAGTCCCTTGGAAGTCCATGTTGTTGCTCCATTCAGCTTTGGACTGCCTCGGGCTTCCTGTACACTATGCAAGAAATGCCTGCATTTGCCTGGCAAGAGTGAAGTGCTTGGGAAAGGAGGGGGCCTCAAGTAGCTCAGGGCTCAGCCTGGTGCATCCTCCTGATAAGGCAGGGAAGAAGAGGGAGAAGAACCTTTGAAATGATCAGTAGTGCCTATGTGGAAGAATTGGGCACCTAATTGCAGTTAAGGATCCTGCCTCCCTTCAGTCCATAATCCCTTTTGTAAACAAGCTTACAAAGGACAGAGAAAAAGAAAATAGAGAAGTGACACCGCTGGCTGGGAGAAGACGTTCAGAAACCATTGATGAGATGTGGCTGTATTCTGCAGTAGCAGGAGCTGTCCTATGAGCAGAGAGGTAGAAATGGTTGTGCTTGCATTAATTGCATGCACATGAGACTTGGACTCCACCACAGATACATCCAAACACCTTTGTATCTGAAAAGTGTTTCTTCTTTGCTCCTTATTTACTGAGGACTTCTCACCTCCAGCTTTGGTGCAGGCTCCCAGCAGGTTGACTACATTCAGGTGATGTCCTATATGGATGAGGATCTTCAGTTCAGACATTAAAGCCTTGCATTCATTAGTAGTTGCACATTCTGCTTAAGATAAACAGGAAAAAAAAGATCTTTACACAACAGGATATTTTTAACAGGACACAGCAAGATCCTGTTTATACTTGGAAACAAAACCCACCCAGGTTACTTGCAGTATCTTTGCTTTTCAGACTCTTAAACAGATAATAATTCATCCGTTTCATTGTCTGTTGACCTTTATGAAGTGGAGTAACACTTTATCTTTTGGGTGACTCTTCCTTTCTCTAGCATGGGTTATGGAGGGTTACTGTCCCATAGGAGAATCCTCCCCCCAAATCAGATTCCAGAGAGCCTTTGGAAGGACTGAATTTTGCAAGCTTAGCAAAGGAACAACCAACCACTCCAAGCAACAACAGCACACAGAAGAATGTGTTCCTCCATCTATAATGGTGATGTGCAGTTTAGTAGTACTTCTTTACAATACCTCAGAATATATTTTTCCACAGTACTGAGCAACTTTCCACTGCAGGTGATGGAGGAATCCAACACATCTCTGAGGTGGGTCCCAAAATGTACTGGAGAATTTACAGCATTACTAAATCTCAGCCCTGTGAGATCTCGTTCACCCAAGAAACATATTTTCCAGCAAAGCAGAGGGGGCCTTATTTGTGTGTGAACCATGAATGTGACACCTGATGAAGCACTGGCTAGCCAGTTATACTGTAGTTTCATTCTCTTTTGCTGCCAAAGCTAAGGAAGGCACTCTCAGACCAGAATGTTGTTCGGATGCTGGCTTGTTTCCTCTGCCTTCTTTCCAAAACTTTAATGATGTATTTTAACAAAAGGAGTTGTGTCCTGTTTCCTCTGTTTTTGCCTTTGCATCATGTAAGATTTAAATATGAAGAGTTACATAACAGATCACTTGGTGTGACAAATGTAACCTCTTTATCTGTTTGTAGAATTCTCCATAAACAAATCTTTCACCAAATTGTGTCATAAAGAAGGAGCTATTCCAAGCCCAAGATTTCTTCAGTCAACAGTGTTTGTAGATGGATGTGTACATGGGTGGTTTTACTCCTGATTTACCCTGGCATGAGCGGGAAGTGTTTCAGATGATCTTGCACATTAAGTTATAGCCTTCAACCCAGAACTGATAGCAGCCTCCTTCATGGTAATGACAGATAATGCTAGAATTACAGAAATGCAAACATCTCCAGAGCCTTTCCCTCCCCCCACTCCCCGAATGGATTGACTCACACTAGAGAATCTGCTTTATTCAGGAAAGTGAATGAATTATGGGCATGTTAGTTGGGGAGGGACAGGTTAGAGCAGGAGGCTGCTGCCTCCGCTTGGGGAGGAAGGTATAAAATGATGGAGGAACTGTCAAATAGTTTGCTGAATATGTGCAGGCAGGGTGGAGTTGACATGAGTATCAGTTGGGAAGCACAGCGTGGAAGTGAATGAAAACCCAGAGCTATCCGGGGCAGTAAGTTTTGGCTGGAGAAAGGAGTGTGTCTGGATCAGGGGCTTCTAGGATATTTAGGGATCTGGAGATGGGCATGGAACTGAAGAAACAACAGCAGGAGAGAAGATGATCTGAAGATCTACAGACTAATGCAGAGAAGGGAGACCAGATTTGGAGGAGGTCCAGACAGGTGATAAACAGATGTTTTTGAAACATTTCAGAGAGATGGGAAGTAGCAGAGCATCAGGAGAGGCAGCTAGCAACAGAAGTCAAATACCATGATAGAAGTTCCTGAATCATGGCCTTGCAGGGGTTAATACAGTCATGCAGCAGCAATGCAGAGCAATGTGGGCTATGAAAAGCCATCAAGTGAGCATTGATTGTACCTCTGAAAAAATTCTAAGTGAACAGTTAAAAACCTCCAACCCAAGTAGTCAATGTATTGGCTGATGCATTTATTCATAAGCTGTCTGCAGAGGCTTTGTATGTAAATATAATATGAAAGAATAGTCTCCAAGTTCCCCCTTTCCCCACCACTGAATGGTAAAAGCTTTCCTTAATTTCAATAATTGCAAGCAAGTTGTCTCTAATTCACTCCCTTGGCATTGCTTTTTTTTCAACCCCTTGAACTGTTCTACATCTGGAAGGGCTGTGATCGAAGGCTTAGATCCAATTTCAGACTATCTAATGTAATTACATTCTGTAATCTGCTTCCCTCCTAACCCCACAGACCTGGAAGCTGCTGTTTTCCTCCTCTAGGAATACAAGACTTAATCAGCAGCACTGCATGGAGCCCGCTTGTCATTTCCTACACGTTAACATCCACTGTATAATGACTAATTGCTCCCATATGACAAACCCACTCCCTTCTGAAGACAATGAACTTGGGACTGGTTTGGAGCTGAGAACTGGAAACCTCATTGCCCACAGGTTCCCTGAGGAGTCTTGTGAGAATCTCAGAGGGATATGTACCTTTAAGCATTTTTACGGCAACTGTTTTGCAGGTTGAAGATTTATCAATGCCAAAAGCAGACGCCTCCACCACCTTCCCAAAAGCACCATGACCCAGTGTTTTACCTAGAGAAGCAAGAGTCAAGAATGAGCCAAAGGGGACTTACGACAGTCTGCATCAGATAAGAGGGAAACATGCATTCTCAGCTATGCAAGAAATACAAGACTCCAGTGCCCAGGCACAACATAGACGTAGACCGATAGTCAATAGAAGCCTGTATCACATATTTGCAGCATATGGATATAAACAGTGTGATTTATATCCATATGACTTTAATGCAATACAGTATGTGATAGAACAGAGTAGAATAAATAAATCTGCATTCAGCTGAAGGCAAGGCTGAATACATATATAGGGCTTAAGGTTAAAAACATTACGTATAGTTGTCCTGAATCCCAGGAAAGTCAGAGTTTGGGTTAAACATAGAATTGTGGAACCCTGATCTCTCATGAATCACAGTCACGGAGATAGCCAGCTAAGGCACTCAGGCAGTCAGAACTCTTTAACCCTTCAGTTATTGACATTTATTTGAAGTAAAAAGCTATACTAAATGGAATTTAGGATGATAATCTTGCTTTATTTTCCCTTTCATTTGAATTTTCATGCCTATGTTACCTAGCGTGCTCTGAGAGCTCTGATTCACAATGCAGCAGAGTACACTGGGCATCATGGTCTGGCTTTTTGGTTCTGCTAGTTTGACCCTATGTCCCCCCATCATCTTATTTTTTGTTATTTTTGTCTGTCTTCCTCCTTCTATGATTTCCAGCTAAAGCACCAAGAGCACACACAAATACAGATACATTCCCTACACTCATTATTGCACACAGATCTTACTGTTTCTCTGTACAAACACAACCTGCTTTTTACATTTTCTTGCTGCATCATCCAGTGAGCTGAGCTGTTGAATGAAATTTGGTTCATTTTTTCATAATAGCTCTTTACACCTCAACGCCAAGTTCAAATGATTAATAAAGAATTTATTATTTGATGAATTGATAAATTTCTTCAAAATAAAATTCACTGAAAGACTGTCACCTTTCAGATTTATTTCTCTTTCCATTTTCCTCTATGGCTGTGAAACCATACTTTTGGCAGGGACAGTACCTGGAAGTACCTTTCTTCCCTGTCAAGAGTTTGGCTTCACTTCCCCAAGAAAGAAAAAGAGGTAGTAGCTATTTTGAGAGAGACAACATCTTTGTTTTTCTTACCAAATCCTTTGTTTCACCCCCCATTAAGGATGATCCTGAATTCTGTGACTCACTGCCAGTTCTCCCCAAGGATGTCAGTGCACTGGCACTAAACGATAGGCTGCATCTTGGGTTATACAACATATCCATTGAAACCAAGGAGCATTAGAAATCATTCTTTACAGCAGTAATACCCAAACCACTCACCCAGCCGCAGTCTGTCTCTTGGGAACTCCCATTTACTGCTGTCATAGGGAAGACGGTCACACTGCTCGTCAAGAGGCATTTCCTCTGGATCCATTATAATTGACAGGTATCCTGTTTTAATATCTGTGGCATCAGGCTAAAAACAGGGTGTGGAGAAATTATTCACAGTATTTACCCTGCAATTCTAATGGGAGAGAGCGAGCTGTCATCTACAAGACTGAGTGCTGTCTGGGGAGTTCCCTGAATTCCAGACTTAGCTGTGAATTTTATTTGGAACCATGAATGCATCACTTCAGCTTCCTGCCTCTCTGTTTTTTTATAGCTGAGAAATAAATGTTTACGTATGCCTGCCACTCATAGGTGTTGGAAAGAGTCACTGATTAATGTTGGTAAACACTCTGAGGACACAAAATCTATCACTGTCTTCTACCTGTATCTGTTAAAGGAAATCAGTACTTTTCTATGGGAACTCCACGAGTTGCATTTCCTGGTGCACTGCAGAGCATTTTGGCATTTTCATAGTGCTTTGTTTTGCAGTCTTGATTCTCCATAGTTATCCACTTCATGGCTATTGCTTATTACAATTTAAAATTGATTGAAAGCTGGTGAAAACTGCTACTTCTAATGCTGCTAAGTGAGAAATTGTGATTTGGTGGGTCCTGTGAGCAGACTTGCACGGGTGTAAAATGTAATAGGAAATTCACTGTTGTCCACAACTGTTAAATTGAGGTCAGGGAGGAAAACAGTAATTTAATCACTGTATTTGCAATAGGAGGGGAAATTTTACTCAAGTGTTGGGGATCAACACTGGGACTGTAGTTTGGTGAGCTTCAGAGCAGAGAGCTGTGGTTGCCTTTCTGTTTGCTGTTTGTTTTAGGAAAAACACACCTAACTTCCTTGGATCTTTACTGAAACTTTACTTTTTTGAGTCACAAAAGGGAGGTGAAAGAATAGCAAGTCTTGGAGACAAAATAAGCTGTGTTGTTTGAGCTCATTTCTAGAGCAAACATCCTAGGATCTTTCTTAAAACAGGGCCCCCTTTAATACCTACATTCCAGAGAAATCTTACAGGACAAGTGCTGAAATCAAGCCCTCATTTTAGGGGATTTAGGATTTTTTTCAGTTTCCTAATCTTGCAAGCCAGTTTGACTCATGAAGAGGGAGGAGCCTGATTTTATGGTACCGTGGAAGTGGGTAGAAATTTCACAAGTGCAAGTGATCTCCTGAGAAGTCAAAGGACTATCAGCAGAAATCTTGGACTGAAATTTTATAGGAACATTTTGCACAGTTCTTCTACCATCTGTCCCAAACATTCTGCCCTAAACTCTGATACTACGCATAAACTGGGCCCAATCCCAGACCCTTTGTGCAATAGGGAACCTCTCTTACTTTTCTCAGTTTCCGAATGAATAGGGTCAGAAGAAGCCAGAAGAGGGTAGCGGCTAGACCAGTGCAGACCAAAATGATAACTTCAATGTTGGATTTCTCCTCAGAACCTGTAGGTTAAATGTACAACCAAATTTTAAATGTAGCCAAAGTCCATGACTGAACAATAGTTCTCCTCAGTTCAACACAATATATGCATTTCGCTTTAGCTTGGACCTCACCTTGTATTTTAATGAAGGCTGATGTGCTGTCTTGGCCCATGTCGTTAGATGCTTTGCATTCATAGAGCCCTTCATCATCCTTTTTCACTCGCTCAATGACCAGGGTATTATTTTCCATGGAAATTCCTGTTGTAAGGGATTTTGGTTAATATTATCACAATAACCTACCTGCCTACAAATGCTTTTATGAGTCAAGAGAACTGAAAGTCAGCTCCTATCCACGCAGGCCTGGTATGCACTGTTGTTAGGAGGCATTTTAATACTATGCTCCTCATTGTGGTCTGGCAACAACCTTTCCCTGACATTTTTTTTCTCCTCAATACCTGTGTAAATTGCTTGGGGTTCATTTAACCATAGCAAATGTGGCTGTTAATTTATTATGAGCAGACAGAGCCTGAGAAAACTTCTATGAAACTTAGTGAAGTGATGGGAAGATAGGTTTTCTGATAGCAATGAGATACATTGGGAAAAAAGGGAACTCGGGGAAATTATTGGAGGAAGCCAATGTCTTGGAGGCTGTGGGAAGTGATGGGAGTTCTAACATGTGGAACATGGGAATCAGGTTATGCACATCCCTGGAAAAATCACTGAGTGGAGCAATCCTGGATTCACAGGCAGCCGGGGGCCAGAGGTGGAGTGGGAAGAGGTAGGTTGAAGAGATATGACCTATATGAGTCTTTTCTACGTTTAATTTTCCTGATTAATTTTCCACATTTAATTTTTCCTGATTTTTGGCACAAAACTGTGAGCTCATCTGCTTCACTAAGGATGTATTTGGGGCAGAAATAGGGAAACAGGTCAGACTTTGAATCCAAAAGGGAAGGACATTTTGAGTTTCTGGGTGTTGTGCCTATGAATCCTGTTGTTAACAAGAGTGCTGCACATAACTTGCCATGCACTGTGCTGAAATATTTACCCTGAGGTGCTTTTTCCAAATAGTTTATGTATGTTTCCACTGGTTGGATGTGTTACGTGCTTGTCCCTCTAGAATGATTTATAAAATTTCAGTAGCTATAAAGAGTTTCTCTCAGAACGGTCTGAGCTGAATTATGGATGATCCTGGATTTCCTACCTAGTCCAAGATGCAAAATTAAAGTCACAGGACCAGCTACTGACATGGGATTCTTCATGATTTATAGGAGATCTCAGGACAGGGAGCTGAGAAGGAATTCCAGGCTCAGATAAGGGAGCGCATGCTCCCTGCCCATGGTAGCACTGCACCTGTACTGCTCTATACCGGTTGAGCTGAGAGTACATTCTCATTACTAAGTTGTGGGAGGTAAAGAAAGGATGTGTAATATGCCATGGTGTGCCCTGGACCTCACTGTTAGGTGACTGCCCACAATTTGCTGCAACATATTCTGATCAGGCCCCAAGGATATCTGACAGGTCAGGCTTGTGTTTTCAGACCCACCTGACAAGCAGATACACTCTGTCTCCGTTTTGTAGACAAACTGTTGTCTCACACAAGCAGACTGAACAGCAGCATGCTGTACTCCTTGATTTACTAATGCTATGCTAATGTATGCAGACTATCTGGCTGACTCTGCAGACACGAACATTGCCACATGCAGAAGGCAAGCTGCATAAGCAGGCATTGGGTTGCAACCGGTTGGCAGCTTTGACCTCAAAGCTCAAGTTGGAGACTGCTGCAGTGGTCTGATATATTTGGATTTGTGTGTGCATTTCCCGAAGTTGTGTATATCATCCTGACTCAGCCATGCTTGCAGTAGCCATGGAGTTGTAGGTCCTGTGTTTGTGGTGAACCTGCAAGTCCATTAAACTGTGTTACATACAACACTGCAGCATGCTCAGGAAGCAAGTACACTTACCTGATGCTGCTGAAATGGGGTAGCCATTCTTCCTCCACGTAATTTGAGGTTCTGGCGTTCCACTGACTCTGCACTCCAGAATGATCTTGCCGCTGATGTTAACCTCCAGATCTGTGAGGTTTTGTATCACATACGGTGCTGCCTTTGCTACAGTCATGAAGGAAAACAGTACACAGTAAGATTTCAGAAGGCGCTTCCCTCAGTTCTGCCATCTTCTCTCCTTTGGCCACCTGCATGGCCTCTCTGGGCTGGAAGTGGCAAAGATTTGGTTGATGAGTGGTAGCAAAAATTCCCCCGAAGATTATAGGAGGAGTGGGTGAGTTTATTTGGCTTATTTTCAAACTGACTAAGCTTAGATTCGGCTTCAGCTCAAACCTCCTTGAGTTTCTCATCCTCTGAAGAAAACAGAGGACAGTGAGTGGGTAGAGCGAATGCAGAGTGAATATAAAAAAAGAAAGGAAGAGGCAAAGAGGAAACAGTTCTAAGGATTCTGTGTCCTCCATCATGAGTGCAGTTATCTGCTTACTACAAAGCATGTTAACCTCCACTTTATGTTCATTTATGAAAGGTACAGGAAAGCAATGTATAAAACCACAAGCACATCATAAAAAATACATAAAATCTGCAATAAGGACAGTAGCTGATGGGTGTTAGTACTTTTAAAAGACCTTGTTTGTATAGGGGGAGGAGGGCTGGTTTGGAGGAGCATTTCCATGCATGTTCTCTAGAAGAATTGCCTCTCTGACATGTGCCGGACAAATAACAGAGCCCAGTAATTCTCAGAAGAATATGATCAAGGTTCCAGTTCTCCAATGGATGTATTCCCAGTTTAGCTGTGTTTTTCCCATAGCCATCATGTGTAGGTGTCTGTGTAGGTGGAAATTTGACTAAATGAATAAAAATATCTGCCAGGGGAGAGAAAAGTGAATTGCCTGAATGCAGAGTGCAGAGAAAGCGCAGTGCCTCCATGGCAGATGATGCTGACAGGTGGCTCCAGTACCGGCTGTGGGGACAAGCCAAACCACTAGCACTCTGTAATACCAGGGTGAGATTCTTTCCCTTCCTCCGCACTTCAGGAAGAAGCAGGTGCTTATGCCATTTCTTAAAATAAATCACCTCCCACTCAGGTATCTGAGCTGTGCTAGCCACAGCTGTGGTGTGGGTGAGCATTTTCTCCTTGTGTGTGTGCCTGCATGAAGGGGGAAGGGACTGCGAGAATGATGTTGGCTGCACGGGGTAGGAGACTGCATGGGAAATGTGCTCGTTCACTTAAACAAGGATGAAGCCAGCACTGCATGGCCTGTTTTTCACCTAAGTGACAAGCGCTTATGGCAGCATAGCTGTCCCTTCGATGTCTCATTAGCCATTAATGTAAGCAGAGAAGCCAATTTGAAAATCACTGTCTAATTCGGCTTCTGAAGAACTCTGTCTTCTGCACCCTGGCTTGCTGCTGTTTATTTCAATTCTACTCTGTTTCTGTGCTTTGGGTTTTTCTTCACCATTGGAAGATACAGAATAAATTCACCCATACCAGCAGGACTTTTTCTTCTGAGAAGGCTTAGAGCCAATCACTCACTTTCTTCACTATGAAGCAGAAGAAATTTCACTAATTTTCAGTGAGTTTCTACTGGAAGAAGTGTCCTGCCCTTTATATTCACATAGCGAAGAAGCCAGGCTTCAGGATCTGTAGTGTTACTATTTTTATGAAAATAGAAGAGTTGGGGGGTTGGGTATAAGTAAGAAAATACTGTTGTTACAATGAAGTGTATCCCACTTACCCAGAATAAATGGTACATGTCACTTGATATATACACTTGACCAGTGACATTTGTGATTACATCTACTGGCTCCAAATCTACTTAGGTATTAGTATCATCCTGACAGCTGTAAGTGGGTGGAGTCTTCTACCAAAGTCATACAGATCTGGGCTGACAGTCCCAAATGACAGGGTTGTGCTGTTAGTCACATAGTGGGTGATGCCTTTTCTCCTCAGTCAACACTATATCTGTACCCAGGATGGAGTTAGGAAGATAAAATGCAGCTGAAATCACCTTTATGTGTAAGGCAAATATTTTATACAAAACCAGCAGTGGCTTGATGAGTAGTATGTATGGCTACATGTCAATCCACGTACAGTAATCAAAAAAACCCCCAAACCAGAGCACAAAGTCTATATTAGGACAGTCCCCAAGAAATGCTGGGCACCTTCCTCTTTGAAAGGCTTCAAAGGGAGCAGCAGATGCACAGTGTTTCTGCTCTGGCAGCAGAACGATAGCATGTCCCACTGCAATTTTCCGTTGGCAGGACCTACCTCTGACGAGGAGCTGAGTGTGCTGTTCTAGTGTGTCGGTGCTGTTGTGCTGGTTCTGGGCTCTGCACTTGTAGAGACCACTCTGTTCCTTCGTGATGTTAGTAATGACCAATGTCAAAGAAATGGAATAGTTGTCAGTTGTCTTGATCACTGCGTCACTGAGAGCCGCCTCTGAGGAGGGGTAATACCAGGCCAGGTGACTGTAGATGTACTTGGAGGCCCGGCAGGTCAGCCGGACATCATTCCCCACAATGGTTGTGACTTGTGGGTCTGTTTGCAACCCAAATGGCACATCTAGGAGGAAGAGAAAACATGTTTGCAATTAAGTCACAACTGAGAAGATCTTTGGCTGCCCGTTTGTAACTTGATGGTCAAATTTCAAAGACCAACCATAATGGAATGAGCCAATTTTAATGAGACCCGCATTTGCATGTGCAAACAGGCACTGGTGCTTGTGAATTAGGTAGATGAATGTACCCCTCCTGTCTCAGTGCTGACCTGTGGTAATTTGGCCTCCAGCATTCTAATCATTACATTTTCAAGTAATGAATTGAAAGTTTATATATAGAAGCAGTTAATGGACTAAGAGAGTTTAATCAAGAGAGACTGCCATCCAGGTAGACAAATGTGTTCGCGAGCTCTTCTCTTTCTATCTGCAATCAGTGCTCGAAAGCATAATTGCATAAGAATAAAGAAACCTATTCCCATTTCTCTGAAGTAACACTCTCTTTCTTCACCACTGAACAATCTTCCCAATTCTCTCTTATTTCAGCTATGCCGATATTTATTTTCATCACGTGTGCCTTGGTGGATGTTTACTTGGTCACTGAATGGATTAACTGATCTAATGATGTATAAGTCCTTGAGGCCTTTATATTTAGCAGAGAAATACTTTGAGGCATGAGTCCAATCTATCCACAAAAGAGTAAGCTGTTTCTTGTTCTATTTTTAGTAACTTTTCACTCCAGAAAAAAAATCAGTTTTCCTGAAGTGGCAAACTGAATCCATTTGAAGACAAGAAAACATGTTTCTGAGTAGAATGCCAGAGTCTGGCCTATAGACACATTCCTATTACTGCATTAGCTGCCAGAGATCTACAATTAAATTGTGTCTGAAAGATACTCTTTTCCCTTTTTATTCTGTTAGTTTCAGTGATCTATCCACCCAGCAGACTTGAATGAAAGTGCATTGATAACCACAGTGACCTGGAATTATGCTTCTGTCTGTTAGGTCAGGATTTTAAAGCAGCTGAGAGTTACGAGGAACCCCATATAAATTTTACCAGATGTAGTACAGGGGTGGGACACTTTAGGAGGACTTGCTCTGGATTACTTTCTGAACATGAACACTGTTTGCAATAAATCTGATAGATTGTTGCTTCAGTACCAAGCTGTTAGCAAGATGCTTTCTTGAGCTAGGATGAAATGGATGGTACTTTGAGAAGGACAGAAGTTAAAGGGGAGCAAGTACACATTGCACTTGCAATCTGACAAATTCCACATGGGAGCTGGAATTTGGCCAGGGGGTCACACTGCCGACTCTTGCAAAAAGTTCTGCTGAAGCTATAGTTGAACATAAATAGTGAGGCTGTTGAAATAACCAATCTGCCTTATATAATAAACCATATATTATATAAAATACAGAGCCCTGAAGGAGCTTTCAGATATGATTAAAAGTCTCTCTTCTTCACAAGTCATCTGGAATAGAACCAATAAGCTTTGATTCATGGTTTTTAAAGACTGGCACCAAAAATGTTTTACAAAAGATCCAAAAAGAGAAGACACCCCTCAGGCCACAGCTGTGGCAATTGTTATTTTTCTTTTCTTTCCTTTTCATGAAAGAAAGTTTACTTTATGCAGTGTTTTGTTAGGCTCAGTTGCTCTCTTTCTTGCTTGGTGCTAGCTGCACGCTCAAACTGACTTGTGTAATACATCCATTCTTCACATCTGATGTCCTGTGGTTCTAACATGTCAAGATGACGCTTATCAAAAAGAGTGAAAAGTCTGAGGCCAGCAGAACTTCTCTAAAGAGGAAGAATTAAGGTCCAGTGAAAACACTGGGCTGTGGCATGAGCAGCATCTCAGCATCTCTCCTGAATCTGTCAAACCGAAATAGGGAAAAAGTGCCCTCTTAAATTGCCTGTTTCTTAGTTTCTCTTCTAAGCATTTGCTATTTGCTCCAGCAACAGTTACAGTACTAAGGTAGATGGATCTTTGGTTAGACTCAGTGCTTTAGTAAGCTCAATGGTCTGGGAGACCTCCTGAGATCCCCTCCAGCCTGAATTATCCCATGATCCTAAGTGCTGGGTCTCAGTGAAAGTATAAAGGGATTCCAGGTAAAGTGATGAGGTAGGAGTTTGATCACGTTACCTGGGGTAAAACACAGTGAACCCCTTGTTGTGGCTTAACCTGCAGATCTGCAGGGCAAGCTAAACCTTGGCCTTAAGCAGTTAGGCTGGCAGCCCCATTTGCCCTTGCTTCTGCTTCTCAGGAAGCCTTTTCTTCAGGAGAATTTCTTCTTACAACTTGCAGCCCCGTTTGTTTTGCAGGGTGAGTTTCCCTGAATGGCTGTGGGAGAAAGCCCACCCCAAGGGAAATACTGCATCTCTTGGGATGAGGCATTGGCTTGTGTGTGGCAGTGACAGCATGGGCTGGAGCACCCAGAGATCTCTGACATTTTGGCGCAAATTCCCCGTTAATTTGATGTGTTAATTTCTAAGCCCTAAATTGTGAAGGAAGCTTGATAGTTTCACCTTGCTGCTGGATTTCACCAGTGCAGGGTTTTTTCTACCAACTTAACATTCTGGGAGCAGAGGCCTGGCTTGTTTTTCTTATCATTTCTTCTACTGACATTTTTTATTTAGCATTTTGAATATTTTTAGCTGGAACCTGTGCTATTCTCTTCCATCTTGTTAGCCTTTCAAGAAGCTCTTTCAGCTCCAATAGAATATTCATTGATTTTCATTACAGTGCAAGGAAAGAGAGGAAAAAAAAAGTCTTTCTTGCTCTCCTCTCTCTTTTTTCCTCCTACCTGGATTATTTGGGGAGTAACTGCAGCTTTGAGAGCACATTATAAGTCAGTTCATCTCTTAGACTACTTTGCTTACACAGTCTTGAACCTGAGCAGTGATTAACTTCCTCTCTCTGAACAGATACAGTGTTTTATAAGACTCCTAATAAGTTGGCTAAAAGAATGCACCATGGGGCCTTTTCTCTTTTATCAGCAGTCACCAAACATTTGTCTTTTGTATTGTATTACAGTGTAGTAGCTGCGAATTTCACTCTTGACTGTGCAGGATTCCATGGCAAAATAGGGAAATGAGCCATTGGGGGAAGGTAAAAAGTCAGCATAAATCAAAAGAAAGTCTGGCTCCATTTGTATTTACAAGGAATTAATTGGTTTTAATTTCCTGTGCTTTGCACAATAATCTGTGTAATTCAAAACTTCTGCTCTTTCCCAAATTCCATCCCCGTGCCTGTCAGGGTGGGGGGGGGTTGCTATCAAGCATATGCATGTAGGGAGAGTGAGAAAAAGAAAGGGTGAGCCCTACCATCTGAAACAGTGCAGAGCTTTTCATAAATCCTGTAAACATGTCAGGAATAAGCAAATTGAGAGTGGCAAGCAGTTGTAGAACAGCCCAGTTCATACATTGTTCTAGTATCTGATAGCAAATTTTTATCTCATGTTTGAAATATAACATTTTCTTTCTGGTAGAAATCTTTAACTCCATTTTTCTGAGTTGTTTTTGCAATCAGATAGGCACTTGAAAAGGGGCTTTTGTTATTATTTGTTATTCTTATCATAATTCATTTATATTCCAAGAACATTCATAGGTTTCATATGGGTGGGATCCCATTTTGTTGTACGTAGTACAATCATACAAAGGCTAGAATTTGATTTAATGTGGACCTACAGTAATATATAGTTGCCCTTTCCAAGGTGCAGACCAGAGATTAGAAGGTAAATAATACTTGTTCATGGTAGAGAATGCCGCCAGGAGACATCAGGTCAGTTTTTCACTGCACTAGGAAGGTTGCAGTCTGCCTTGAGTGTCCTTTGGTGCGTAACCGGTGGTAGGCAATGACATGAGGCAGTTCTGAGCATCTGATGGCTCGCCCACATTACCTCTGCCTATGGCAAAAAAGTCATCTGACTTAAATGGGAACACTGATGTCAAAACTGTGGTAGGCAAGATAGGCAGGAGACAGATTTTGTAACCGCAAGAAACAGTAAAAAGGATTTACACAAAACAAAAATACTGGAATAAAGAGTTAGGCTAGGGCATGATGGATAACACTGCTACTGCATTGCTAGGGGAGTTTCTGCTGCCGTAAACAACTTCAGGAGAGATTCAGTGGGACATTGACAGGCAGGACATCTGCAGAAGGAGCTCAGAGAGGCTTCAGGGCTGTCACTGAATGATAACATTTCTCATCATGTTGGACCCCTTATATGGTTTGGTTTCAGCATGATCTCCAAACGCTGTTGACCCTTCACTGAAATGAATTTTGCTGGCAAAGAAATGATTTAAAAATAGATACCAATGCTATTTCTAGTGTCCGTGGGAGTTTTTGGGGGGGCTCTGCAGTGGAAGAACAAAATGGGTGTTGACATTATTCCATTGGGATAAATACATTTTTCTGAAATTAGTATGGTGGTGATGAAAACAGCAGATTGAAGTAAGGCATGTCCCCAGAAAGCAGGTGCAGCCTGGACAACATCTGATGAAGTTTCTCTGTAACACTGCCATATCCTGACAAAACATTTCAACCCTGACCTAGTGGAAGAGGTTTTTGAGCGAAGAAGAGAGTTTAGCCTCTGTATCATCTTCAGATTTCTTGCCGGGGAGAAATTAGTTAAGCTCAATTCAGCCAAAATGTTTGAAAGCAGCTCAGGATCCACCAGCTTGTTTTTCGGTAGGAGATAATGGGAGATCAGGTCTTTAAAATCCACAAATTGCTGAATTAGTTATGGAGTCCCACAACTAGCAGCTGTTTTGCAGAGAACAGAGCACTGTGAAGTGCTACAAACATTTGCTAGACATTGTCCTAAAGGCCCACACATCACTTGTGTGCTCTCAGACTCTAACTCAGCCTTTATCTCAGCTTTTAGCTTCGATCTGCATAAAATTAATCAGCCTAGCAATTGTAAAGAGACCTGCTTAAAGCCTTACACTCTTGGACTTCCCCTGTTTGGTACCTCACAAACTGTCCCTGAATGTCCCTCCAACACTGAGATTACAGGCAACTCCTGGTGAGAGTAACCTGGCAGTCGCTTAGCCTCCTCCAAGTGCACCCAGTAGAAGACAGTGCTTTTTTTTCATCTGTGAGGCAGACCTTTGGCAGAAAGAAGCTCTTCGAGCAGCCTGGCCACTTGCTGCAGTAATATGCATTACTCAGCAGAGGACCGTCATGTAAAGAAACCCAGCAGCAGGTCACTCTGCTGCTATTTTACCCCTGCAACATGACCTACTTTTGGATCAGGATGGCCACATTTAGAAAGATTTCATTTCTTTCTAATCATAAACACCACTATTTTTAAACACAGCACTTATAAAAGTCAGTCATGCTTGTTCAGCATCTGCCTCTTCCCCAGAATGTCACAGACTCACAGTCTTTTCTTCACAGGCAAGAATATATCTGTCTTGCCAAGCCCTATTCACCTCCTGGTGTTTTGGTGGAAACATTTCCACCATAACCGCTGTCAGCAATGTCCAGTCATTCATTTCCTTCATAATTAAAATTGGATGATTAGTCTCAAAACATTGCTAGATTGATCTTAAAATAAAAAATCTGAAATATTAGCTCACTGTGGGGGAAAAAAACCCTACATAACTTTATTATTAAAATAAAACATAGTTGTGAAAAGTGTGTGGATTGATCTAACCCTTTGAATCTGACCTTATGCTGGTTGCTTATTTAGTTGCTCCAGCATTGGTTTTAGTCACCAAGTATTACAAAGTACTGTGAATAGCTTGGAAACATACAGCTTTGAGTAACCCATCCAAACATAATAGCTGACAGAATTCAGAGCAGAAACAAACCCACGTGAAGACTCAACGCTTGGAAGTGGCGAAGTGTAAAATTAATAGCTGGTCTTCTGCCTGCCTTGGACATCTTGAGGACCTCTTATGTCTGAGATGTGTCTCCCAAAAGTGCACCCTGAAGGGCTTTTTCCTAAGTAAATTAGGGCTTTGGAAAATACCTTTTGGAGGCTTAAACCCCCTTCTGTCTCCATAAGGCATTGGGGTAGTACAAAGAAGCTGTAAGTGGAGGTGAAATCTTTCTGCCATATGGCAGCAGCTTCATTATTGTTGGATGACATTTTTCTGTGCACTACACAGCACTTCTGTGTAGTAAGAATGGTAACAATGTTTAGTGACCCCCTTTTAGGTTAGCCTGATTTGAAATGTGCTGAAATTACTTCAGAGCAATGGAGTCAAACAACACAGGACACAAGAGAGGCAGAGGAGTGCAGAGCACTGCCACAAGCGAGCTTTGCCCTCAGAACTTGCTTCATGGGGAAGAACCCAAGTAGTGAGAATCAGACATTTACCTTCCAGGATACTTCTGCACTCTTTGTTCTAAAAATTGTTATTTTGACGCAAATTCTACCAGCCAACATCCACTCATCCAGAAAGTGAGCACAGAAATAGTTCAGTTTGTTCTGGTTAAGCACTTGAACAAGGCTGTCCCTGGACTCTTCTCTTTTTTTAAACTCCCATCTTTCTTAAAAGCATTATGTAGGTCTTGATCTCACTACTGAAGAATTTCTGTGCTGAAAGGTTAAGCAGATATTTGTTTGGATTTGTGTTCTTTGGAGAAATAGCATGTCCACCTCCTCCCTCCTTAAAGGGCACTGGAAAGGCTAATTACTCAGGCAGGGATCCAATGTCACAACAACTCCCAGCGTTATCAGCCCTGGATTGGGTCTGAATATTGGCCTAGCTCACCTTTGCTCTGTCTGCTGACTTAATTGGAGACCAACCATTCTCCTGAGTCAGGGAGAGGCTTCAGGCCTTTGGAAGACTACAGAGGACTTGGCTCTTGCTAGAGGTTTCATGAGGACAGCGCTGAAATGTCATGAGTGTTGCTTTAAGACACAGGTAGCTAGACTCAGGGCCTGCATCTGCAGCTTGAGAAGGGCAAAAGGGGCATCAGGTCTGATGCTGGACATGTCAAACTCAGCTGTGCACTGACGCAGGACCCAGCCTTGCATGTGGTGAAGAACCTGGGACTGTGTGACTGGGAGTGCTCTGAAAACATGACATGCAGGGTTCCCAGAAGTTTTAATGAGCACTCACCAGCCATATAGAACTTTAAGGTAAATCAGATCATCAGCATCTAGTTTTTGTGTAGTGTCTCTTGTGTTGTTTACCTGAGACGTAAAACTCAATGCTCCTCTCTTCTTCACCGATCTTGTTTGAAGCCACACAGTAATAGATTCCTGATGCACTGCTGTTTTCCGTAGTTAGTGTGCTCACAATCTGCCAGACAAAGAGAAGAAATAAAGGCTTTGAGTGTAGTGTAGGCTTAGCAGAGAGGCTTGAAAGTAGTGGATAATTATATGTTTTATGGTAGAAAAACAGTTAACAAAGGAGTTTCTACTAATGAGTGAAGCTCACAGACAAGTGCTTTTATTAGATTTTTGGTCTCTCATCTCACATCACCTCAGCCCAGTTAATTCTCTTCCCTCCTCTTTCCTAAACCTTCCCCTTCTTTTCTTCCTGTCTCGCCCATGAAAAACAGGGTTCCCCTTTGATAGACTGCGAAGGTCTTTGCATGGCAACGTCAGCAAAAAGCTAAAGTGGAGGACCTAGGACATTAACCTAAGACACTGGAAATGAAGCCCCACATTCACCTATTTTCTTTTCCGCTTTTCAGTTATGGTTCCCTTGGGTAACAGGGCACCCACATTTGCATGGAAAGCAGGTCATTCATATGAATGTGGTATAAAGAATATTGCAGGATTTTGTTTTGCTTTGCTTTGATATAACCCCAGGAAAGGGAGGGAGGGATGTGGCTCATTTGGGCCCCAGCTCACTCTTATAAATTGTGCTTGGAAGCCCTTTGATTCCATAATCCTTCCTCAGAGCCTTACCAGAACTTGTGTGGTAAGTAGGGAAGCTCTGGAGAAGCTGCCTGTGCTCAGACACTTGGCAAATGCAGAAAGAAAGGGAGAATCCTGAAGGAGAAGGAAGGAACACTTGCCCTTGGCTTCATCACATAGAGAAAGGAAGTGGTTCAGTTACTCATGGGGCTGAACTCAAACACGTCCTTAAGAACCTGTGTTCCTTAAACAGCCTAAGCCTCTGCTTCTGTATAGGGCCTTCTTAATGACGAGCCAGCCATATGGCACTCCCCTGTCCCTGTCGTGATGCAACATCATAAGCTCATGGAGGACTATCCACAGGTCATGGCTTTAATTATTTCTAGTACTTCCTTGGGGCTGCTAGCAAGAAAGCAGGGTCTAACCCACCAAGACAGAGATGTTCTTGAAAGATTACTTTGCTTCCCCTGCAGCCATTCACCTGAGGAACTCTGAGCCCTCACATTTGGAACAAATATCACTGTCTTTGCCATGCTCTCTAAGGACTTTGAGAATCAAAACTTATAACACCCTCTGGCCCTTTGTCCTTATCTCCAGAGAGTGCTTTGAAGTGCACAAAAGCATCTCTGGACTTTCTTTTTAATATCCTAAACTAAACTCACACAAGACATTCCTTTACTCCTCATAAAGCTGCACCATGAATGTGTCTATAGCTGTGTGGGATGTATTTTCAGAGAATTATTTAAGATTTTCTGATCTTTGGCACTTTAAATCCTGTAGGGAAATGAGTTTCAAAGGTTTTGATCCCATGTGCATTTTACGTTCTAATGAGGAACATTTTCAGCAGAATAACGGGTAAGTGGAAAAGAATCTATTTTTCATAGGCACCAAACACAGAAATTAACTAAGAATAGGGACAAACGAAATTTAGGGGTGAAAACAGGAGACCGGTAAACCCAGCTCCCTCTGGTGTCCACCAAAGAAAGAGCTGTGCCGTTCTGATTTATTTATGATGTGAAAATAGCTCTAACTTGGATATAAAATCACTCAGAGAAGCATTCTGCTCCTCCTCCTTTTTCTCTTGCTGTAGCAGTGGGCCTAATGCCACAGGTTATTAACAAGCACATGTTCAGAGCACCACCCCTGACTTTAAGCATTAGACACTGCCTTTTGAATTACTGCTGAATCAGGACCAAGATCTTTCTTCTCATGATTACTGGATCTTAGAATTTTATATTTGGGAATAGAAAAAGCCAATATAAATGTACGTGCTGAGGACAGAAGGGGATAAATTTGGACAGCTATTTAAGAGCTATTAGTCTTGCTAAGTGACAGCTCTAGATGGGAAGTTGAGGATAATACTGTAGAGCGAGTTAAAATCGTTAAGGGGTATGTAATTATCCATTCTGGAATATGTCCAAAGTGTTAGGGGTTACACTGTGACTCTTCTAAAAACTGAGGCAATGCCTCAAGCTGTATTTGGTGGCCCAGAGGTAAATGCACACATACGCTTATGAACACACACAGATGCTAACATCTTTAACTACGTAACTCAAGAAAAGTCTGACGTGGTAGTGGTGGGGGGAAAAAGAGCAAATAGCTGTACCAAGACCTTATCTGAGCTAATCTCAATTGTGTCTAGATGTGAAGGTGAAAAAGTTGTTAAAATGATGATGGGAAGCAATCTGGGGACAAATTCTTGGGAAAAATTTACTGAGGAAAAGAGAGGAAGTAATTTTCTTGTTTGTATGCTCAAAATCACTGTTATGCGCTTGGATACCAGTTTGCTACACACCTGAGCACAAGAGATAACGCACTTTACTCTCTTGTCTTAGAACTAGCACCTCCCAGAGTCCTCAAAATGTGACTTTTAAACCAGCAGCATCCAGCAGAGATATATGTGATTTCAGAGCCAGAAATGAAGGATTTTAAGTGATTTTCTTGTAATAAGATGAATCTCTTGAAATCATTATGCACCAGCTTTTCTCTCTAGCTGTGTGCTCCCGGATAGGGATCCTGAGATTGGGAGTCCAATTATCTTTCCAGCATCTTAAATAAAGTTCTCAGTTGCCAAACTTAACCTGATCCAGGTTTAGTCCTCAACAGAGTGATGTTATGGAACACTAACATGCTATACCAAAGGGCATCCAAATCCTCCTTCCCTCTATAAGACCACATAGTTTTGTCTTTTACCAAAAGGAACCTGAAAGAAACATTAGGAAGCCAGCAGCGGTATCTGCTTTTTGTAGTATCTGTAGATCAGGGATATCCCATTGAAATCAATCAAGGAGATCCCATTGAAAAGTAACCCCTATTAACCCAGATGTTAAACCCCATAGTATTCACAATGCTGATGTTTTGGCAGTTGTTCATCATCTGTTACTGTAGGCAACCCAAGTTGAACAAACTTGAAAATTTGAAAATCTGAAATTTGTACTTGGTCATAGTGGCAGGTAGGGGTAAGGATTTTGTTCTTCTAAATGTCATCCCTATATTTTCAATGCAACCATTGCAAGGAAAGTCTGCAAAAAGAAGTTGAATGAGAAAATGGTTTGAACTCAAGCAACAAAACATAGGAATCTTTTCCCATAATTAACAGCGAAAACTGTTAGCAGACTTCTCTCTCTCAGTGGAGTTGCACAGTCCCAGCATTTGGGGATCTTCAGTATAGAGTGGAAAAAATTCTGAGGGGATAATCTACTTTGTGTGCTTAGTCCATGCACCTGGCAAAGTATTTTCCATTTCTGGAATCAGAGCCAGGATAGAAAAGTTTGAGGCACATGGGCATTTACCACATCTTAGACTCATGAAATCACGGAAAGACTTTAGCTGCATGGAACCGCTGGTGGCTTCCTGTCCCACCTCTTACTCAAAGCAGGGCTCACATCAAAGCTGTTTCTTATGCCTTCTAATCAGAAAACTCTGCTCCCAGACAGAGCACAGCACTTTCTGCTAAGCCTAAATAAGGATGCCTATGTGAAATCTGCAATTGCCTTGAAACATTGTATCTCTTCAGTGAAATTACTATTCATGAACTATTTACAGCCTGGAAGTTTGCACTTTTTAGTTTACCTTCCATCCCATGTCCTAGTCAAGAGCAGTTCAAGCTAAATGACACGTTAACCCTTGCCAAGGTACTTCAGCCACAAGTGGTAGCACAAACTACGTGGCTGTTCAGTCCTTAGCTTCTGTGCAGACTGCACTGGAACCATTGATAATTAATAACAAATTATTGGCATGTAATGTCTAGACATCTTCCTAGTGGGAGCTGGACTGAGATCCTGTGAGTTCACTGCATACCAAACACTAAACATCCTTCGGACCAGTTTTGATTGCCTGGGTTGAATTTAGAAGTAAAGGGCTCCATTTCCTATTGCTTAACCTAAAGGCCACCCAATACTGCGAGCCCAAAGAAGGGATTATTAGCTAATAAATAATTACTATAAAAGAATAAACTAAGTTTAAAACTCAGTAAGAAAAGAAATAAAATGACTGATCTCTGAAGAACAGCTATGACAAGTAAATAGACATTGCTGCTGGGAAAACTCATAATGGAATAGTTCAATAAAGTCCATATGTCTTGCACTGTAATGTTCCCAAACTGATAAAAACAAGCTATTTTAGAAGCAGCCAAATAACATTCCACAGCCATATACCATGAGTGTTTTAAGACATCTTGTAGTAAGGACAGAGCAGCAAGACCTTTTTTTAAGCTGGAGCCAGCATGAATTAATATATCTTGTTATTCCTTGCTTTCTTTTTCCTTTGTCTAATCCCTCCCTCCAACGGCTTTAGTTAACAATTCTTCTCTCTTTCACTTCGTTAGCTATATGTGGGTGAGGATGAGGAGTAGAAAAAGTGGGTGGAAAACTTCTCAGCTGTTAACTGGCAGAGCTGGGGTGGAGGTGGCTAGAGGGAGATGAAATTATAGGAGCTTCACCAAAGACCCCGCAAAGAAAATATTCAGCTGGCTCCCAATCCATCTACTTGAATGGCACAGAATAACACTTATTTTTATAGCCTGGCAATTCTGATCCATGATCTTAGTTCATTCATTCAAATCATGCTAAAGGATGGACTGAGAACAAGTGATAAGAGAAGTCTGTGAGTTGACTGAAAACTTCTAGGATTTGCTCTTATCTCTGGCAGTGGGTATTTCTCTCCCTGTAAAGTGAGAACAACCATTGCCTTCCTCACAGAGTATGGCAGAGCTGATGGTAGTACCGTGTGATCAGGAAAGGCACTGGACAGGGCAGGAAACTGGAGGAAACCGGAGGTTTGAGGTGTCTCTGGAGGAACTGGTATACATTTCTAGTACGGATGGACTGATCACTCTCTGGCCCTAGGGCAGGTGGGTAGGTGCTGGCTAGTCATGAGCAACTGCCACCCCCATGCTTCTTCCTTGCACCCAGTGATTTCAGCTAATGAATTTAAGAGGGCAGGGAAGACAGAGGGCCTTTTCTTATGTCCCTGCTGCTAGCCAGCTCTCTCAATAAGACCTGGGTAGTGCCTGAAACATCTGGGCTAGTGTCCCAGAGAGTGGATGCTTTGTTCAAAAACGCAGTCGCATGACTGTTCACCTTCCCCTGCCACAGACTAACATGACAAGGCTTGTGGGAGCTCACCAAAATGGGCACCCACACAGGGCGACAGATTTAAACAGCCCTACTGAGTTGCTCACATACTTTTCACCAAATGCATCCCACTACTCTAATGTAGTCTTTTTGTTCCTTCAGGACGTTTAAACCTGGCATTTTTTTGGTCAATGTAATTGAGTGGTTATGAATTCACCAGCAAAAGAGATGTGTGAGTTTCACTGTGGAAACATCCACATGGCCAAGCCACTCTCGTATATACATGAAAGGGAGAAAAGAGATGAAAAGAAACCCCCAGTGAGGACTGAATTATGTATGGGTCTTGCTATTCTTTTCTGCTATGTCCTGTGCTCCCAAGCTGAGACCAGCATGTTCAGTTTACTAACAGGAAAGAAAATAAAACAACAACCTAGCTCCTTGCAACTTGAAGAGAAAATTCAGGCAATTCATGCAATCACAGGTATTTCACCTGGTGTTAAAAAGCAGTCTTCAGAGGTAGCTACACATTAGTTTAAATCACAAAGTGAAAAGTTCAGTATTGACTCAAAACCACTGGGAAAATTAAACTAGCATGATGCAATTGCGTCAACCACTATTTGACCAAAACTTCAGTGAAGTACATCATAATGTTAATGATAACCACATGCCTTCCTTTAGGAATGAGACTTATTCTTTAGAAGACAGGAGGGGGTGAAATTAACTTCTCTATCTGTGGAATAATAATGGAATAATCATTATGATGAAGATGACAAGAGATCTCAATTTTACATGCCACTTTTGTCCAATAGATGTCTAAAGATCCTGATGTGATGAAAGATCACATCAAGACTCAGTGGTCATCTGGAAAAATCCTTGCTTGCAGCCCTGCAAGCTAGCTTTCAAGCAAGATTCTGGATCTGGTAATTTCTGGGGGTTTGCTCCCATATTCTTAGCAGCTCTAAAATGCATTTTTTTCATGTTACTGAACCAGCACATATTGCAACAGTTCTTTGAGAGTGAACTCTAGAGATGCTGAGAAATCTTAGAGACGAGGTAAATTCCACCTTCTGCTCTGAGACTTCAGCTATCATTGGACAGGCTCAAATCACACAGGAAAAGTAACCAATCTCAGCTAATCCCAGCTTCATAACACAGTCAATAAAAGCCGCGCTCAGTCAGACTCCAATATCTTTATTATTTCATCTGGCTAGTCTATGCAGATGAATTACTTGCTAGGACATGGTGGGAATGGATTGGGCTGTTTCCTGTCTATTCCATTTCTGGTGGGAGTATCGACTGATAAGACACAAGGAAAAGTCTGAAGGCTATGAGTTTTCATCAGTGTCTTTTTTTGAATTATATTCTATTATCTAAAGACTCCACTTAACACAGATAGCCTTGGACTTCAGAAAGGGGGAAAGAGAGGAATTGTCTGCTAATGTAAGCAGGGAGACAAAGTGCTGAAACCTGAGATTCATAAAATCTAGTTTTATTCATTTGAATAAATCTTAATCAGGACATAAAAATTACTAGGAAACACCTCAGAATGCATTTTCAGCCAGTGGATCAGCAGGACATGAAAATAATGAATATACTATAAATTGAAAATTATGTAACTTGTAAAGAAGTCTTTTTATGAAACTTTAATAATGAAAGATGTAAAAGCCTAAGTTAAAGGGTTGTAGGCTGAGCTTTTGAACATGTCTTAAAAATGAGCACTTCAGGATGCCTGGAGTCTATAGAAAGAGCAGAGACGGCTGTGCAGGGCAGAGCGAGAAGCAGCCTCAGGGCTGTTTGTGGTACTCAGGGTGTAAGCAGCAGTAAAGCTCTTAGGTAACAAGAGGAGTCCTTTTGAGGAGTGCGTGGGGTCCTTGTACTGAGGTTCCCTCATGGTCCTCATTTCCACTAAGCAGTTGCACCTCCCTTCTCCTAGCACTGTAGTGCGCACCATGTTTTACAGGCAGGAAACTCAGGCACGTGGTGATGTCAGAACTGACCTGTGGGTAGGTGCTGTGGTGTTCTCTGTGGGAGGGGAGCACTACTTTTCCTCTGATTGCTATACCTGGAGATTGCTGCACCTTTTCTTTCTAGGGAAACTAGGTGATAAGGGAAAGCTGGGAAGTCCCTAATCATGCGCCAGCATAGACTGAGGATGTGTTTGGAGTGTCCCCCTGGATCCAGGAAATCTGTGGTACTCCTAAAACACCTCATTCAGAGACTGCAAACAAATCCCATCTTAAGTCCACTAGCACACTAAAATTTCACCCAGGTGCATATTTGCCTCAGCAAAGTTGGTAAAAGAAGAAATGGGAGTGGTGTATATATGCATAAAACAAAGAAAAATGTTTCTAATTTTGTGTTGTTGAGGTGTCTCGCTATGCCAGCATGTGGGACAATTCAGCAACCAACAGATATTTTTTTGAGTCACAGCAATTGTGAAACTCTTCACTTTTATATGGGGACTAACATAACTAGATCGTATATTTAGACAGACTGTGTATATGGAGAGAAACAGTAGCCATGAGAGCTGCAAAACTCTTGTCAATCCATGCAGCAACCAGAAAGTCTAAGAAAAGGAAGAAACTTTGTAGGCACATGTCACCAACCTCCATTTTTCACAAATAATTAGCACTTTGTAAGTAGTTGCTTTTACCTAAGGTCTAAAATTCTTAGAGAATACATTAAAAACAGAGCTTAAGAGACACTATGCCATCTAAACAATTCCAATTTATACATATAATCCAGCAAGGGGAAAACTCAGGAATGAAATGTGAACACTGATTTTCTCCTTCCCAGCCCAACCTCCATGTTTTCAGAGCTCTGTTTTAGGTTATGTTTAGAGCTGGAAAGTCTCCATGAGAAAGAGCAGATGGCTAAGGCACTGATCCTGCCAGATGCTGATTTAGTCTGGATCCAATCCAGAAGAGCACTTTAGCCTTGTGCTTAACTTTAAGCATGGGAGTAGCCCAAGAATTATCATATGCTTAAAGGTATACCAGGAGATAAACTGCAGCATTCAGCACCTTGCAGGGTTAGGCACTAAACTATCTGGAGCACCCACCTCGAAACCTGTAGCTGCAAAACCACTCCTAAAGCCACAGACCTCTGTAAGTCCAACAGGGGTAAAACAACTGTCTGAGCCAGACCACAGTATATTCTCCAAGGCATAGCCAGAAGTCTGTGAATCTATGGCAGAACAGCTGCAGCACTTTCTCAAGGATTAGCATGGACGTGCATAAACAGTATCACTCAGTATCACCACAGGTACGCGGGAGGCATTTGACAGATAATTCATGGCTGGGATCTTTGCAGTTCATGCAGAAAGTGTGCTCCCAGTGCTGTTTGGAAAGGGAAGCTGGCAGGGAAGTGTAGAAGGAAGGAGATCTTCCCACATCATTGGCTTGGTAACATGGTTGGCAACCCAAATGGGTAAAGAAATGTTGACAACTCCAGCTGAAACAGGCAGGTACTGCAGGCACTTACACACTCTGAAAATCAGGCCAGCTATCTCTGGCCACCGTAGGCCTCTTAAATTACACAGCTGTTTAACTCCTGCTACTGGGAGAGTAGGCAAGGTTGGGCAGTACAAAGTGCTCTCTAAGTGCTAAGCATTCTAATGAACTCAGAGTCCTTATCAGTTGTGTGCACTTCACAGGACCCCTCTTGCACTGAACCAGTCTTACACTTTCTCAAGACTGAGGGAGACAGAGAGGTTTTTGACCTAAAAGTCTTTGGAGAGTTTTAAACAGGGTATGTGACATCATTGCCAGAATCCCGGCATTTATAAACAGCAGAGATCTGAAAATGATCCCAGGGCTGTGGAATTTAAAGCATGCTAACAACCCACAGTAGCTTGGGAACTGTGGGGAGAGAGCTCTGTGTGAGTGCAGCATCCCCTCTGTAAAGCCCACTGCTATTCCATGACATCATTGCTCAGATTTTCATCAGACACATACCTTTCTTTTATCCCCATGCTTCATGGTTATGTTTTCAATGCTTCTGATCTTGTTGCCTATTAACATGTTCTCGTGAACCACAATTTTTTGCCCATCGGGGTTGCATCTGGAGGTAGAAAAGCAAAGGTGGTGTTCAAGAACCCGACTCACTGCGGATAACTCAGGGAGGCATTATTAAAGAGAGAGAATGTAATTCTTAGACAATAGTCTTAGGTCTTAAAAACTCCTAAAAGCTATTGCTGCTGGAGATCATTACCTCTTCATGAAACTACTGTATTCCTTCATCGCAACATTTCAAAATTATTTACAAAGCACCTTAACAGAGGTAGTCAAAGATCAGTATATGACCAGCAAGGAAACCACCCAAACTTCCTGAAGATTGAAAATAGAAAATACTGGACAACTAATTAAATCATGTGAGTTGAATCTGGCTTGTATGAGTTATACCCCAAATCAATGCAGCTGTGGCTTTTTAAGTGCTCTTTTAGCACTTGCAGTGCATTTCAAAATTCAAAATGCCAGTCATTCAAAACTGTGGGGAGGTGAATGTTGCTGAGCATGTCTGCCTATCTGCTCAGCTTTCCGACATGAAATGCAGGCTGAGGGAGTAGAATGGATAAATACTGGGATAACGATAGCAGAAGGCTCCTTTAATATTGCATATTCCCCAGAAGATAACCATATCTCTGTCAGTTATCAATCTTCATTTTTGAATTATGGGCAAAGACCAGTGTATGTAGCACATAATGCAGAAAGTTATATCTGCACTATCCAAGGCAAAAGACTTTTCTATCTTCTTTAACTACAGTCCTTGGAATAAATGAGCAGAGACCCAGGCCTTCTCATGATTAGGAGCGCAAAGGCTTCAGCAAGACTGGAGCTCCAGGCATCCTGGCTGAAGGCACTGCCAGCTGTGCAACTTGAGGAAGTCTTTAATTTTAAAGTTGCCAGTTCAGCTCCAGTCCAGCATGCCTGAGCGTCACGAATGGTGACTCCGTGACGGCAAGTTAAAGTCAGTTCAGTTCCACCACTAGCTGCAATTGCACAGCTTGCACAAGTCATCACAATGCATGACAAGAAAGTGTCCTTATTGCCTCCTCTGCCTCAGCAGAGGCGCTGCGCTTCCCATGGTTGGTCCCAGCGGCCTCTGAGCCCTCCCTAGCAGATTAGGGTTATAGGAGGTAAAATTAATATGGACTTGTGTAGGTGATGACCAAGGGCCGATGATGCAGAAAACTAATCCATATATCAGCCGTGCCTTTGCCAAATCCACACAAGATGCATGGTAACACCCTGGGTCAAGGGAGGGTTTACAGCTCTCAAAAGAGCCTAATTAGAAGATGTCTTGAGTGACTTCCTGCAAGGCACAGTTCTGTCTTGAGGATGAAGGGAAAAAACTCAAAGGAAGCAAATCACATCACAGCTATAAGGAACAATGATAGTGTTTTGGGATTCAAAGTGCACTAGTGAGGAGGGGGGAGAGAAAGAGAGAGAGAGAGGAAGTGAGACAACAGAAGGAAATGGGGTCTGTGTCATTTCCCACAGGAATCCTCCTACAGCTTCTGCTGGAAAAAGATAAGGCTGCCCCGGAGGCCAGAAGAGGTAGACGCCACTCTGCAATTGTATTTAAATTGATAAGATCAGAGAGTCAGAGAGCTGGAACAAGGGTTATATGAGGTCTTTTGCCACCAGGTCACTGGTTTGAATCTGGCTTAATTTGGCATTCATGACCAATTCTCTCTCCCTAGACAGAAAGGTCTGGAAAAGATTTCAGGTCATCTCTGTGGCTTGCCTACAGAATGGATAGCCTGTTTCCTTATGGTGTTTCCATTCTGCTCTTGTTGAACACCTCTGAAGCAGCAGCTTGTGTGCCTTCTGCTGACCTGCGATGCCAACAGCCCTACCTAAGCCTACAAATCTCTGCCATTTTATTCCTGCAGGAGCAGTGTAACTACCTAAATGCGGTAACGGGCCACTTTACTCGTGGAGGGACACAAGGTCACTTTTTAGACCCAACCCGAGACTAGATCACCCAACAGCACTGCAACTGCTGCAGCAGAGAACCTGGGAAAGGAGCTTCTCTTTGTGATTTTTCCCTGTCTCATGACTTGCCATTCATAGCATTCGGAAAAGCATTGTAACAGTGAGAAAATAAGGAATGATGCAGCAATTTTCTCTCTTGCTTCCTAGAACTGTCTTCATTTTTTTAGGGATGGAGAACCTGACTTCAGTCCTCTCATTGCAGGGAAGAGTTGAAGTGCAGTCAGAATTGTTATACATGGCTCCTATATGTTCCCTGGGGCTACCAGGGGAAGCATTTAGACCTCAGCCGAGACCGACCGCTATAGATCACTCTGCTCATGTAACAGCAGGAGCAAAGAAAATGTCTACTTGTATAAGGCGAATCTTGAAAGGCATCTTGTGTTTGAACTTGCCTCATTCCCCTCTGACAGTTTTGACCCAGTGACTTGCTTCTGTGTCTTTACACCTCAGGCTGCCTCCAAACTTTAGCAAAGTAGGGCCCTCAGTAAGGTGTGAAGGCTTGGCTACCTTTTCCAGCTTCTACAACACAGATGCTGCCACAGGAGCCCATGCTCAGTGTGCACTAGTGAAGACAGCCCTTAGGAAGTGCCATAAATTCCATCTGGCAACTAAATGAAGCCAAGCCTTTAGCAGGTTTGTCTGACAATAGTTCTTACAGGGGAAAAAAGTGTGTTACCTCTACACAGAAAGCACCTATGTGTTTTTCCTTTGTCAACCATGTAGGCTGCATCCAAGAGGTCTAAGAAAAGGTCTTCATAAATCAGAGGGACATTGCTGGTCAAGTTAAGGAATATTCAAGCCTGATCTTTAGTCACTTTAAACTTATTTGACACAAATCTGATAATACGGAAGGTGCTTGTAACTCCAAAAAGATCATACACAACTAGTTGTCTGCTGAGTTCATAACCTTTGAGATCTTTAGGTGGGGAATCACTGCTTGTGATTTTTTACTAAGATAAATAAGATGTACTAGAAAGAAAAAACTGACTTGAAACTACCAAACTATTTTGCAACATGTTCATCCATAGGAATGTCCACTTACAGCATGTCTGTGAGGCTGCAGGGCTGCCACTTCCACTCGATCTTCGGGTCAGGATTCCCACTTACGGTGCACTGGATTTTGTGTTTGCTTCGTAATTCCACCCGCTCAATCTTATCAAAATCAGTTTCCTTTTCATAGATTTTGGGTCTCTCTAAAGAAAAAAAAAAAAGCAACAAAAACTTAAATGCAAATGAGCAAATTTACATCCACGGTCATGTTCCTGTTTCCATCAAACGTTTTGGAACTTTTTGCTGTGATCACTAAGTGATGATTTAGTAAGGCTACTGAAGTTGTAGAACTTACCAGCAGTACTGAAAGTATACATTCGCAGAAACATGGGTATTAGTTGTAGTGTTTCAGAAATACACTGGAATGCTACCACATTCATCCTAATTGCTTTCAAATGTTGTTGTGGACCTGCTATACTTCTGGAAAATTTATGCCATGAAACGTCTATTGGTCAGGGACTGCAGGATCAGTCTGTTAGTCTATGTACTGTGGGCAAAATAGCATTTGACTTCTGATGTCACCTCCTGAGAGGAACCTTATCGAACAGCTGCTGCTCTGCAATATTGTTACCATTGTGCAGGTTCTCCCCAGGGTTTTGGAAGAAAAATCTTTTTGATCTGAAAACTTTGGTTTCCTTTTCTGTTTATGTGTAATGTGCGCTGGATGAAGGGGTGAAGAAAGCAAGGAAGAAGTGGTGGGGAGACAACACTTTTGTAGAGTAATGCCAAGAAATTCTCACCAACAGCAAAACCATTAAAAATGTCACTGCATTATTCACATCTGGAGGGGTTGCAAGATCACACCCTTGGACTGGTAATCTCTCAGGACCAAACTTTTGTGTAACACTTTCAGGGCTCCTTGTTGCCAGCAGGAAAGAAATGCTTTTGTCCCATCTACTTCCAGCTCCCACGGGAACATGCAAAAATGAGAAATAATGCTAAAAAATCCCCAAAGTGAACTGAACTTTTCGTAACCTCGGAGAGGGTGGGTTTGAGTTTGGGGTGAAAGCACAGGCTCTTCCCTTATGCAGACAGCTCTGCCCATCCCTAGCTATATCTCTTTGTCTGCTTCTCATAACAGGAAATCAAACAGATTTATTGGTTGGGGTCCCTCTGTGGAACACCTCTGTGCAGCCAAGTGTGGCTGCTTTACACTGAGGGCTTTTGACAAGTTGGGAAGTGAATGTAGATTAGATTTCTATTTTTCGGGTTAACTTATTTTTTCTGCTGTCAGGGAGGCCCCAGATATGTAAATATGAGCTACTGCCCACCTCATCAATCTTGAGCCCTTTTCCTCTTTTTTTTTAATAGCCTTTTTTTCCCTTCCAGCCCTCTACTCTTACAAGAAGACTGACCAGGCTGATCCCATGTCTTGGTGGGATCCTTGCTTTCCATTTTTCTTGGCTGCCAGGTCAGACTCTGAAAGATCTGACCTCATCATTGCCTGAAAATACATCAGCATTTCCTTCCCCACCACATGAAAGGAGTATTGACTGAATGGTTGGTTCAGCCATATCCTAACTCCCATGCCATAGTAAAACATTAGCTGCTTTAAAGAACCTTCATTAGGTCCTGATTAACATTTCACTTGAAAAACCCAAATGACAGGCCTTGTTTGGTTTTGCTCTCGTGTTCCCTTTTGCTTTTTTGATCACCTTTGGTTGAGTCTTGTTTCCCCGTCTACCTGCAGGTGATGTTCTATCAGGCTGTAAAAATCTGCTCCTCACTCCTTTGTCCCTTCAGACTGGGAGAGGGATTGTCTTTTTGTGAAGGAGAAGATGAAGAAGGGAGCAGACTGGAGAGTTCTTCGGAGTGTGGTTAGGGTCTCTTAAGCTCACATCCTCATCTGTAATATGGACACAGCGTTTCCTGCACCACATTGCTCTGGGTTATGCAATATATCGCTGATCAAGTGCTTTGAGATTTGTAAGCAATTCGCAGGACAAATTATTGGGACTAATGTCGAATTTCCTTGTAACTGGCATCTCATTTCTCATCAGTAAATTATTTCTGATCATAAAAATAATTTTGTAAAACTCCCTGGAGAGAGAGGCACATTTTTCATTATCTTGGACATTTTTCTTTTCAGTCTCAAATCCTGTGTTAGGCATGTCCGGACTGACCTCAAAAGCATGATTTTCACTTGGAGAAAGACACTCTAAGTTCAGTGTTAAAGGTTACTCAAGTGTTTTCGGGGCTGGAAGAACAAAGCTTTACACACTCGGGGAGGGATTTTGTGTGTGTGAAAGAGTATGGGGGGACAAGGTTTGATTACAATCTTTTAATACTAGGAGATTTTTCTGTACTCTTGGTGAAATGATGAATACGTTGACTGTCATTTAAATTATCCTTCTAAAAAAGAAATAATAATTTTAACTTGATCTAATTCAAATAAGAACATACATGACTCACAAATGAATTCTTAATTCCACAATTACTTTACTGCATGGCACTATTAAATATTACTTGAAACCTAACATGAGTCAAAATGATTCATCAATTGAAATTATTATTATTTATGAGGCTTAAGCAATTATTTTCTTAAAACTTGAGGGGCTGGCTAAAAATGCCTCCCCATCATTTCTTTCACAGTGCCTTATAACACAGTTAGTGTGGGGTCCTAGCTAATTATGGACATGACACTCAGAAATTGAAGCAATTTTTATAAGTGTCTCTCACTTTTTCCCTGCAAAGGTGGTAATGGTGGTGGGTGTCATTCTGCAAATGACTCCTACTGTGGCACTACTGCAGTGGGGATGAGGCACTTCCACAATTCTGAATGTGCCTTCTTTGTGCTTGTAAGGGTGTTGGCATTGGCCCCAGCACGCTGCAGGTTTGTAATGTGGGGTGTGGGATACTCCTATGAGGGATATTTCTTGGGCTGAAAACTTTCCAAACTTCTGCACACTGCCATGGCCATTTTACCTCTTACCATGCCCCCTGAAGGCAACTGAAGCTTTCCCGTTCACTTTGCTTGCTGCTGTGCCAAATCCTATTTACAGAAGTTGCCTCCATCAGTGATGGAAACAAATTAACTGGCTTCTGTGGTGGGTACTGGCCTTTTAGATTTGCTCAGACTGTAACTAGATAGTTGGCTCAGTGGGCTGGCATCTGCAGCAAACTCACCTGCGAAAAGGCTCTCCATATTAGCGTGATGAGGAGTTTTTAGCCTAAAGCCAGTGATTATCTAAGGTACACCTAGTAGTGTATTTCTCAGATAACTCTCCCTCCCCCAAACAGCACTTTGCTTTCTCTTTCATGTTTGCTTACTAAGCAGCATGGTGGCTTATGCACAAACTCTTATCTTTGCTCATGTTTAGGTGTGAGGTAAGGCTTGGGGTATGAATCCATTTGTAAGCACTGCCAAAATCCAAGTTTATTTCTGGTTGCACCTTAAATTATGCATCTGAAGTGTGGATTTCCTCAACATACATACATTTGCAAATGTATGGCTGCTTTTTAAACACACACACAAAAAAAAAAGCTGTTGGGAATGGAGAGCTTTAGCAAGCATTGGACTAATGGCAGTACAAAAGTTGAGTAAACAAGCAAGCTGCCTCTGCACAGAGCCTGCAGTACACCTTGCCTCCCCCAGCGAGTGCAATGCAGAGTCCTCCTTTCTCCTTGAAGCTCTGCAACTGTGCCGAGAGCCTGACCTACAGCACCCTCTGCTATCCTAACCTTGGGCTCACGGAACACCTTCCTGTAGATCCTTGCCCCCAACCAGCAGTTCTGCCTGCTACAGTAGGGCTGAACTGCAAGAGGACATCTTTAAATACACTCCATTCCTGACCTGAAGTATCCTTCGCTATCCCACTTCTTGCTTCCCACTCCCCCCTGCACCGGGATCTGCCTGCTTACTTTCAGCCTCTGCCTCCCATCCCTTGCCATTGCCCTCCCCAGGCTGAGTTTTCTCAAGCAGAAGCCAAACAAACCTTAAAAGCTTTCTCATCTCTGGCTGCATTTGGGAAGCTGTGTTCAGATGGCTTTAAATGTATCGAAATAAATAGGTTTTCGTCTTCTCTGGCTTGAAGTGTGATTGTATCCCCAACTCACTTTGCAGAGGTGCAATTGCTGGTGTGAGAGCTGACCTGAATAACTAAAGACTTTGCTGCTGCTGCACTGTGAAATGCAATCAAAAAGCAGTTCTGCTTACTGTAAATTTCAAATTGATCAGCATTATGTAAATCTCACCTTACTTTCTAGTGTTATCTTTAGTTTGTGGCATTAGGAGCAAATGATATGTGCAAGGACTGGGACATTAACCCTGTGGCATTACACCTTCTGCAAGAGACTCTTCTGTCTAAAATCATTGCAGATGTTATTATGGGGTTGCACACTTGTCACCCAAAGGAGCATCCAAATATAAAGGACAGCACATAGAAAGTTTCCCTGCCTTTTTTAGAGAAACTTTGCTTTACTTTCAGTGACTTCTGACTGAACTGCTGTTTACGTACCTTCCCCATTGCCATTTAAACTGGGTTTCAAAAAACATTTTCACAGTAAGCACATCATTAAAATAACATAAGAGTGGTCCAGTGAAGCATTTAGTCTCAACCTTATATACTTTGCTGGACATGGGGCTTCATTGAAACTATTGATAGAGTGGCAACTTGTTTTCTATTTATCCTTTCTGTTTCGCAAAAGCAAAAATAATTTGCACTTTAGAGTCTTTCATCTGATGTTTGTACAGTACTTAATGGAAATATAAGCTCTGCAAGTTGAGCTAGGTGAATATTCTGTAAGGTAAATACGAAACTCATTAATACAAGTTTGAACTGGCCAAACAGTATGGGAAAAAGAGGATGAAATTTCCACCAAAGTAAAAACACTTTGTCTGTGTTCGGCTTACAAGGGATCTCTGTGGTTTGGTTTTGGTTGTTTGTTTTTTTTTTAATCTTTTTCTTTTTTGTTAAAGGGAAAGAAAGGAAAAAATGAGTTAAATGACCTGAAAACAAAACTTTTGTTTCAAGCTGAACAGAACATTGTGTTTGACCCCAGCTGATTTCGTCTGGGTGGTTTTCTTTGTTTTGTTCTGTTTGCTTTTTTGTTTTATTTTGCACTACACACAAGGCTGCTGTGAAGTGGGTGCACGGCACTGTGCCCACAGTACCTCTGAGGAAGCAGATGCCAAGATGAAATG